CTTGCCTGTGTGGTCTAGGTTCCTTTAAAAACTGACCTGAAAATTAAGTTATAATTGCAGTACTTAAAGGAAATTTGATTTTAAAAGAATAATGACTGTGTTTATGTAACCCCTTATTTAACTTGCTTGTATAACGTGTATAACACCTTCAAGGTGATGGTATGTGTTTCCAAGTCACTGTGAAGGAATATGAAAATAGCCATCTTGTGACAAAAAGCACAAAAAACTTACAGCACAAATTATTATCTTAAAGGAAGCCATAGGCAAAGAACTAATTTATTAACTGTAGATGTTGCAAATTCTAATGTGACTTGTTCCCCACTGACCAGTCAGAGCTATAAATTAAAAAAGTGCTCTGTGGTTAATCCACTAGATTTTTCATTTTTAAAAGTTGGGTTCTTTAAATGTTTTCAGAAGTTTTATCCAATAGGAGCTATGATAATTTTTATAATGTCAAAATAAGCTAGACGGTAGTTTCATGTCTAATCATGTATTAATGATGTTAGGAGATTGTTCTCTACAGATTAATTAGAAAACACCAAAAAGTTAGCAATTTTTCTTTTTCTTTTTTTTTTTTTTTTTTTTTTGTGGTGCTGGGGATCAAACCCAGGGCCTTGCACTTGCTAAGCAAGGGCTGTACACTGAGCTACATAACATACAGTGGGAAGAGCCTTGTCTGGATGTGTTGTGGGTAAAAGAGATGGGGTACCGCAATGAAGGTGAGCCGGTCCCTCCTCTGAGGGCACCAGTCTGAATGGTGTTTGAAACTCAGTATATTAACTTTTCTTTATAGCTGCTGATATTAAAAATACAACATTCAAGGACTGGGTTTGTGGCTTAGTGGCAAAGCACTTGCCTAGTATGTGTGAGGCACTGGGTTTGATTCTCAGCACTGCATATAAATAAATAAAGGTCCATCAATGACATAAAAAATAAAATAAAATTTTTAAAAAACACAGCTTTCATCTACTTAGGTATTTCATTTAAAATAATGAGCAGCCAAGTGTGTGATTACATAGCTTTAGGTATATGTATTTAGTTTAAAGAACCATGAGTTTTAAGCCATTCAAGGCAATTGGTTGGTATTATTATTATTATTAGATAGATAATGATGATTCAATTCTAATAGTATACAAATAGAAGACTGACAAATTTATGGAAGAGCTATTGGTTTGTTATAATACTGGAGGTTTTTTAGAAGCTGTTTGTTACAATAATGAGGATCAGCTGGTAGTTTTATAAATTGTGCTTTAATATATATACATACATACACTTGTTAATAAAAATACTAATTCACTTTATTATAGCTCGGTAAATGTTTTTAGATTCTCTATGCTTTGGCAAATGAACATGTGGGGCTTATATTTTTCACTCAGTCTTAATATGCACTGCATTATACTATATTTGAAATGAATACACCTCTTCTGTCCTTCCATAATATAAACTATTTTGCATATTCAAGTGGAGAAGAAAGTAATATTGTGTGCTTTGTGCTAGGCACTGGGGTACCGTATCTTGCAGATATCAGTCCTGGTTAACATGGTTATTAACTCTTCTGATCTGCAACATTTTGGCAACATTTTAAGAATTCCCCAGCATCCATAGATGTAGAATTCACATTTATCACACTTCAAATATACAAATTTGATTTCTATGTCTGTGTCTTGATTTGGGAATTAGGGGACTTAGTTCCCCACGTGCCCCGCCAAATTGCTTAAGTTAATCCTTAATTCCCTGCCTACGTAGTTGCTAAGGTCCAGTTTTGCTTTTTTTACTTTGTGTGTGTGTGTGTATGTGTGTGTGTGTGTGTGTGTGTGTGTGTGTGTGTGTGTGTCAGGGAGCAAGGGAGTTGAAGAGGGAGGTGAATTGGTGATATAAATGTGTTTTATTGCCCAGCAACCTACAAGTATGGGAAAGGAGAGAATCCTTAATGGGAAGCTCAGACCAAACATACCATCTGGAAAAACTAAAATGAGCTAAAGCAGTAGCCATGTAGGACAGGGTGAATGCATGGTTTATAACAATATGTTTGGCATTATTTGGTCTTTTGTCTCAGAAGACTCTTTCTAGAACATTAGCATCACAAGAATAGTTCTCTCATCTTAGTTCTCTGTCACCCTGTCATCTGTGTCTGGCTCAGTGCACCGAAGTACCAGTAATGATTGATTATTTAAATGAACAAATGAGTGAATGAATGAATGGCTCATTTCACTGACATTGTCAGATCTTTTGATTTATTATATTTATTTTACTGGAATTTTTGTTGGTGTTCTATTAGAAAGTGAGTGAACTTGCTACTAAATGTGTGTAGACTTATAAATAATTCTACCTCTTGATTAAAAAAAATGGAAGTGTTGGTGAGAATGTGGGGGAAAAGGTACACTCATACATTGCTGGTGGGACTGCAAGTTGATGCAGTCAGTCTGGAAAGCAGTATGGAGAATCCTTGGAAAACTGGGAAAGGAACCATCATTTAACCCAGCTATCCCTCTCCTCGATCCATAACCAAAAGACTTAAAAACAGCATACTGCAGGGACACAGCCACATCAATGTCTATTGCAGCACAATTCACCATAGCTAAACTGTGGAACCAACCTAGATGCCCTTCAGCTGATGAATGGATAAAGAAACTGTGGTATATATACACAATGGAATATTATTCAGCAATAAAAGAATAAAATTATGGCATTTGCAGGTAAATGGATGGAGTTAGGGAATATAATGCTAAGTGAAGTTAGCCAATCCCAAAAAACCAAATACCGAATGTTTTCTCTGATATAAGGAGGCTGATTCATATTGGGGTTAGGAGGGAGAGCATGGGAGGATTATGTGAACTCTAGATAGAGTAAAGGGGTGGGAGGAGGAGGGAGGGAGATGGGGGTAGAAAAGATGGTGGAATAAGATGGACATTATTAACCTAATTACATGTAGGAAGACACGAATGGTATGAATATACTTTGAGATATTGAAAATTGTGCTCTATATGTGTTATATCAAGTGTAATGCATTCTACTGTCATATATAACAAATTGGAATAAAATAAATAAATTAAAAGAAAATGGTATCTGTCCAAGATCTGAACAAATCCCCAGTTTATCACTCACAGCACATCTTTGTTTTTGACTCTTCCATGAAAGACATCCACACAAATATGAATACTCAGCCATATTTTAAGTTTCTCTTTGATAATTCAAGTAAACCTGGAAATGGAAAGATCAGAGTCTCAGCTAATACTTACATTGTCCTTGGATGCTGTGACTGTCAGATTAGGAATTCTTGCTAATATCTGGTCTCAAAATACCTCTTCTTATTTTTTCTGCTTCTGCACAAATGAGAGAAAGAGGAACAATTCTTCAACCTTTCACATCACTTATTTTCTTCCTAATAAATGTTTTAACAAGTACACACAGTTAGGATACTTAAAATGTATAGCCTCTTATTTTCAAGGTAATAAAATTAACCAAAATCTTGAAGATTATAAATAAATTAGGATATTTTGGCTTTTGTCAAAATTTTCTTCATGAAAAAAAGCAAATATTAATCTAAAATCTTTCCAGTGATAATCCAAAAATGGAGACTTTGATAAAATAAATGTAAGTCCTGTTCATTGAAACAGTGAGGTGTAATTACCAAAGTAATAATGTCACATTTCATTTTCAGCCTAAACTGAATATTCATGGAGTTTCTCTGGTGCCTTTCAGATCTGTCCCTCCCAAAGAAAGTGCTTAATTTTTTCCAAATATACAAATAGTACATATTTTTTTAAAAAAAAGACTTTTTAACCTGAAAGCTATTAAGAAAAATCTTAAATCATCTGTAATTCTGCCACCTTTGTTTAGCTACCACTAGCATTTTGGAATAAATTTTAATTGTAATATATACAAAATCATCATATTCCACATACTAGATGTGGCTTGATTTTTCAGTTGACAGACATCAAGGTTATTTTTTCCTTATCAGTAAATATAGGTCCATATTGCCATTTTGGTATTTCCTTTTGAGTCTCTGCTATTCCCATATCAATTAGATTTTTCTACTCTAATAAATAAGGCTTTTGTAGACATATCTATTCTTTGCATAGTTCTCTATTTATTTCTTTAGGGTAAAGACCTTGAGCCAGGCACAGTGGCACATGCCTATAGTCAGTCCCAACAGGGCAACATAATGAGACTCTGTCTCAAAAAAATAAAAGGGCAGCTGGGGGAGTGCTAGACCAGTGAGGCATATACTTCTTTTTCCAAAGGCCCTCTTTAGGGAAACCAAACCCAGTTAATATTCCCTTTCTTTCAAACCTGGTCCATTCTTGAATCTAGTAAAAAAAAAAAAAAAAAAAGCTGATTTTTTAGTTTTTATATATTTTTTAATACTTCTGGGGCTGAACATCGTTTCAAACATTCCACATGATTTGCCTGTTCACGTACCTTGCCTGTTTTTCTTTTGGAATATTGTTTTACTAATTTAAGTTTCTTTTGCCAATCTAGATGTTCTTTATAGGCTTTGTAAAAGCATCTACTTTTATTATAAACTATTTTCTTCCCTTGCATTTTTTATAAGAAACTCTAGGCACAAAAGAATATTGAGGCTCTGGACTTTTCAACTTAGACCTTTTTCTTAGTCTGTTGCCATTTTCTGTTGGAGAGAAGGGCAGATATTTCAATGTGAGACTAATTAGTCTGAGTGGTAAATGTGCCATTCTCATAAAGTTGCTCATATGTCAGACGTCCTCGTTACTGTGTGTGATTTCAAGTTTTTTCATACTCTGAATGCCTAAGATTAAAACCAGCATCGCAGCAGAAGTTCAGCAGTAGGTCCATGAGGAGAAAACAGAATCCTGCGCAAACACATTTTTCTGATGTTTGCTGTTAACTTTGGTCTCTAAGATAATTGCCATTTAGAACATCACTTACTGTTTGCACTGTGAGGTGTGTGTTTTCACACCCAGGCCCACAAATATGAAGAATGAGTGGTCTAACTGAGATATATTTCTATTCACTTTCAGAGTATCCACATCTTGGAGAGAACAGCGTCCTCTAGCACCGAGCCCTCTGTAAGTCGGCAGTTGCTAGAACCGGAGCCCATCCCCCTCTCCAAGGTCAGTGATGATATGTGGTTCCTTACTCAGATGGCCTGATGCTGGGACCAAATGAACTGTGAATGACTTTTACACCTGACTCACCCAGAGGTGGCTGTGACAGCACTTACAGGGTATCCCCTTCCTTTTCTTTCTGTCCGAAGTACAATCTCTGCTTTCGGTTAGGAGAAAGTAGAGGAAAATATATATTCCTTGGATTTGCAGGGTTGCTTACAAAGGTTCAAAATTCTCTTTAAAAGAAGAAGGAAAGAGAAACTACTGCTATTCCCTATTGGAGAGAGAAGGAAATATATCTGTGCTGAGCTAATGGCAAAAAAAGAAAAAAGAAAAAATCACAGGGTCCAACAATAATAATAACAGTTACCATGATAGCCCACATACTGCACACCAGGCACTATGCTAAGTGCTTAGATACATTATCCCATTTAATGTAATTCTTATCAACAGCTTCAGGCAATGTCGATAGGTGTTACATTTTACAAATATAGAAACTGAGTTAGTAACTTGCCCAAAGTTATAAATAAAGGAAAGAAAGAAAAGAAAAACTCTTAAATAGCAGAGCAGAAATTCAGAGTTATATTTGCCCAACTCTACAACCAGTGCTCTCCAGCTGTACAGGGATTTTCAAGGTAAAACAGTCCCTACATGGAGGGGCTGTGGCACATTCTGAGATCTGTTTTCCTTCCCATGTCTGGCCTTCCTAACAGGAGGCTCTGGGAGGACTTTGCAGATATTAAGACCTTTTCTGTTTTGTGGGAGCTAGAGTCCCTCCCCTTCAGCCTGCTTTCTCTCAGACTAGAAAAACATCTAAATTCATTTATGTCTAAAATGCAAAAATCATTTGAGGAAATAGCATCTATTCCTACCCACTGCTCCCTAAGAGGTTCATTGAACTGGCTCCCTTATCGAGAAAGCTGAAAATAGAATGCATTCAGATTTGGAATTCAGATATAAAAATAGCATTTTAGCTCTAAATATGGTCAACTTCTAGATATGGTATAGCCAATCCTTCCACTTTGCTTTTTCTATATTAAATAACCCTTTAAGAAAAGAACACATTACTACCCTAGTGTTATTGTATATATATATATTTCTACCACTTTATACTTTAAAGACATTACAAGTTACAAAGTTTGTTCAGAGAGGAGTAAAACTCTAAGCTAAAGAAAGAGGGGAGTTATCAAACTATAAAAAATAATTTGGAAATAAAAAGTGACTTCCATTCAGACAGCAATTAGAGAATGCATACTTGGTAAATATAATTCATATATCTCTTTGAAACATCACCACTCTCATAATTAGCAAAAAGAAAGGAAAGAAATAATTAGCATAAAGGAAGGAAAGAAAAAATAAATATGAGACACTGGGAAAGGTGGCTAATATTAATTAAACACCTATTTTGTAGGAGGTACTGGAGTAGAACAAAGATTCTTTCATCAGCCACCAGCTCATTGAAGTAGGTAGTAATATTCTCATTTTGCTGATAATTAGCATAATTTCTCAGGGATAAATACCTCAACTTGGTTAAATATCAATCCCCCATAGAAATAAATAGCTGTTATCCCAGCTCACAGCAGCATCGGTGTGGGTTCCCTGGTCTAACAAAGGGGTCTGGGTGGGGCACCAACATCCACTTCCCATTACTTCCCTATGTTCTTGACCATTTGTATCTTGCTGTAGGACTAGCACACCCTTGTCGTATTTTTGTATTAGTATATACAGAACAAATCTTCCACATCCCATCTAGATGGCAAAGCACCTCACTGTTTCAGCTCCTTTGAGAAAAGATGGACTTCCTGGGCACTGATTCGTAGCAGAACTTTGTTTTAAATACACATTGCCTTGGCCAGGATTTGTTCAAATTTTTTGTTTGATGGCTTAAGTCCTAAAGCATTTCTGCATGCCCTCACTGTCACCACCGTCACCCCCTTGCATTTACCTACACATAGGCACATATATGTACACCTATACAGCATACCCTTGAGAAAGGAAGTGTTTCTCTATTTTTTAATGAAAAGGCTCAGGCTATTATTAGATTATATTAGATTTCTATTTTATTTATTGTTACTGCATTATAAGTATTTTTACAACTTCTTTAATCCAAAGATGCTTGTATATCTGACCTAAGTCAAGTACTGACATGATCACATCAGGACCTTTGCTTCTGTTTCTGTTTTAAGTAAACCTAGGAATAGTTGAGACTTTTAAACAGGAAATAAATATCAATTGAAATTTCAAAAAAAAAAATCTTCAATTTTCAGAAAGTTATTCAGTTTTCTTAAGGTATAACTCATCTACTAGGCATAGAGGCAGGAATTTTTACATAATGGAACATAGAGCACAGAAGACCCTATCTTGTACAGAAATGGGTTTTCTTTTCTTACACACTTATTTAGAACATTATGGTCAGAATTTATAATTGAAATAAAGAGAATTTTGTTTGCTCTGATTTTATAATTTGCCTCTTTGTCAGCTTGACAGCTTATTTAATTTTAAGAACTATATTTGGATTATTTCTATTTCTTTTGCTAGGTTTAGGAATATTGCATTAGAGAAATGGAATTATTTGTTCAGAGCTACTGCATTTATGTGTAAGAAATACACTTTTAACTTCCAGCCTTTTCTCTCATCCCTTTTTTCCCTCCTCTCCAATTAAACTCCTAAAGAAGAAAGGAAAGCCACTCTGATCGAAATCTGTGTCCATAGTTCCACAGAGACATGCTGTTATTATATTCTGAATTCAGTTAGGAAAAAAAAGGAAAACATTTATACTTGTTATTAAATATTTCCATTCATCACACATATGCATGCACACACACAAAAAAAATAGAAGTTAAATACTAGCTTTCAAATAAGATCTAGCCAGAAATAAAAACTCGATTCTTTTATAGATACTATCCACAGATGAAGCCACTAAAAATAGAAATGTCTTTAAATATAGATGAAATCTCTCAAGAACAAAGAAAGCTCTAATGAATATGATCCCACTTATATAGAGAATTGTTATCTTAATGATTTAATTTTGATTATTTAAAACTTTTAAAAAGAAATTAGCAAAAATCTATGGAATAGAGTGGTTATCTACCTGTCTGGTGACAGCAGAAAGCCAAACTTTCTATAAGAACTTACTATTTTTCTCTTGTCATTTAAACATTATTTATAACAAAACTCACTTGTTCAGTGTTTAATTCAGTAGTGAGAAAGGGGTGCCAAAGCCTTCCACTTGGCACTCTGGAAATGTGATAATGCTACCAGCACTTATCTTGTCCAAAAACATGATATTCCATGCAGCCTGAAATTGTCTCATCAAAAACATTTTTTTTAAAAAAACGCTACCTCTAATTAAGTTTTGACCAGATGAATCACAGTTTCTGATAGAATTATCCACAAGTAGAAAACCACTTCTTAGGTTGTTAAAGATCCTTTCAAGAGTTCTTAATGTCACCAAGTGGACACCAGCAGGTATGTTTCTCTACGGTATACAGTTCAGTCTTTAGGGATGACCAGGAAGATGAAGAAGTGATAGTAGTCTCAGGTTCATTTTGGGGGTGTTCATTTGGGCAGGGGGTTAACAATGATGGTGGAATGTATGGATAAGGTAATTGTGCATTGGGCTTAGGTAGCATGGAGGCATGGTGCTGGTTTTGGAGGGCTTTTCAAAGGTCAGGAGCATCTCCTTGTCTCTGATGTTAGAATGAAGCAATGTTGGCCACATCAGGAGATGTGGATATGGGAGAAGTGGATATAGGAATGGACAGTAAGGACTCAGCTGCCTCCCTTCCTGTGGCTCACATCAGGAACTGATTATGAACCCTTCCCTCTGATTCGTGGGCTCCTCTGCAGATTTGGGGCAGCTATCACCCACCTACTTGGGCCAGCAAAGCCATCTTCTCTGAGATGAATTCCATTGGCCATTCCTGTTGAGCTCTTTTTTATGTAGACTGTAAATGATTTCTGATAGAACAAATCATTTTGGAAAGCATCTTCCCAAGTCAGTTTGAGATGAGGCATCCTATAGAGAGCCTTCCTTGATTCATGGACCACATATCCAACTTTCTGAGGGAGGCAATAGAGTGGGTTATGCTGAGAGATTTTGCCTCCCTGCATTGTGGGCAGGATTGCAGCAACTGTGCAGTGGGTATGGGAGCCTCTTCCCACCTTGAGAGCTGCCGCCTCTGCTGAATTGTTAAAAGGGCACACTGTGGTCCAGAATGTCATGCCTGAGCTTTAGCATATGAGCTTTCAGAGTGTTTGCTAGTTCAATGGTTACTTTATAACTGAATGGCCCTTAGAATCAACTGGGTTTGTCAAGTCCAGCAGGGACTATGGGAAAATAAAGACAGACATCCTTCACTTGGCAAACCCAGTGTCACCAGATCTCATAGTCTTTCAGAAAATTTGTATTCTTAAAGTCTGAAATATTGTGCTTTGTAAATGTTTAAAATTCATTTTTAAAAAATGAAGTACCGCAGATGAGCAGATGAACGTAATATGTCTTGAAAAAGAGGAAACATTTAATTGGCTTTTAACAGGAGGGTGTTTAAGTCTGGACTCTTAGACCCAAGGTTTTTTGTTTGTTTATTTGTTTCTAATTATTTGTTACTTTTTGTGCTGGGAATTGAACCCAGGGCCTTGGAAATGCTAAGCATACTCTACCACCAAACTACACTCCCAGTTCTAGAACTCAGATTCTTGGCCTTGCAGCCTGATGCTCTTTAATACTGACACCCAAGGGGAGTTCTACCATTGAAAGCCTGTACTTATCAGTGTGCACTTGACAAGTAAGGTGTTTAACACCCACTTGGAAATGCCATGGCCGTACCAAGAAGAAACAGGACCATGGCATAGTTCTGTGTTGATAGCAGGTTCCCAGCCACTTTAGACTCCTGCAGCCTTTCTGCTTCTACCCAGAAAGCCAGATCTGCACACTAATTGAACATTTGTCCTCAAAACAGCCTTACTCTAAAACTTTAAAGTTCCTCTGGTGCCCAGAGATTAACTGTCTGGGAAAATGCATTTTAAACATTCTGAGTACAGGCAATTGAAATTCCTTCCCACCCCAAGTAGACAAGGTGGCCCCAGTGAGTCTCTGATGGACCCTGAGTGCCTCCAGGTCTACCTGGGAAACTCATTTAACTTCAGTTAAAAGTGCATAGCTGTGTTTGATGTTAGAATTCGCTCCGGAATCTTTTCTACTTCTGGCGGGTCTAGTGTTGCCTCAAAAGCAACTTCTACTTAAGAATCTGCTTTAAGTGTGTCGTCAAACACAGAAAATATGTGATTTGTTTTTCTTTTCTCTCAGGAAGCTGACAGCTGGGAAATTATAGAAGGGCTGAAAATAGGTCAAACTAATGTCCAGAAACCAGACAAACACGAAGGCTTTATGTTGAAGAAGAGAAAATGGCCTTTAAAAGGCTGGCACAAGGTAACATTTTTATCAGATTCAATTTCAGATCATCTTCATAGAAAGGATATTATTTGTGATTATTCAGTAGGAAACCAAGACTATTGCATATACATAAAACTCATTTTCAAGGCGCCATGAATTTCATTCTATTATACCTACTAGCGTCCAAGATCTGTAGCATATAGATGAAGGAGAAAATGTTTATGTAATACTTAAAATCCAAATTGTACATATTATTGTCTAACCTACTTTTTTTCACATAAATTAGTATGGATATGTTCTCATTAAATATTTTTCTAAATATGAGATGCTTTTAAGTGTATTCCTTTGGGTGGATTTATATATTCCACCATTATTAAAACAATTTCTTATTGCTAGATATATAGGACTTGTCCAATTTTTTGTTATGTTGTTGCAATGAGCATCTTTATAATTGAATACTGTTTAGTTTTGTGGGATAAACCTTACAGTTATTACTAGGACAAAGTAAATTTGGAAAATTGCTGATTCTGGAAATTTTGGTTACCACTTTTTAAGGTAGTTTATTCTTCTCTCCCCTCCCAATATCCTTTTCTACCTCCCAGTTTTAATTAGGGAGGAAATATTTGTTACTACATTGTTATAATTACCCAAGTAGTAAGAATTCCATAGTGCTAGCTGGGTGTGATGGCATGTGTCTATTGTCCCAACTACTTGGAAAGGCTGAAGCCAAATGATCCCTTGAACTCTGGAGTTTGAGACCAACCTGGGCAACATAGCAAGACCCCATATCTTTCCAGCAGGGGGAAAAAAAATAATTTTGTGTTACTAAGGAGAAGGAAATTCTCTTCCACCTTCAGTATAAGCGCTCTGGTGGACCATTCAGAATCATCTCTGAAATCACTGGAAGATCAAGTTCATCTGCTCATCATCTCTACTGATGGATTTCATCTTAAACGGACAGATTTGTCAACTCAAAGGTCCAGATAGTAGCTGACCACTGGCTTAAAACAGGACAGTTATGGATTATAACTTGCTTGAAAAAAACACATTTTATGCATTTTTTAAATATTTTTTTAAAAGAGAGAGTGAGAGAGGAGAGAGAGTAAGAGAGAGAATTTTTAATATTTATTTTTTAGTTCTCGGCAGACACAACATCTTTGTTGGTATGTGGTGCTGAGGATCGAACCCAGGCCGCACGCATGCCAGGCGAGCGTGCTACCGCTTGAACCACATCCCCAGCCCCATTTTATGCATTTTTAAGGGAAAGATTCGAAATGAACAAATGGGAAAGGAAGTCCCAGTGTCCTGAATCCAAAGATGGAACAAAAACAGATCAAAGGGGCTTCTGACTAAGATGCCCTCTCCCTTGTCAGAAACTGTCTCCCCTGAACCCTATAATATTATTCCAATGCAAGTGATCTTTCTCCATCCATTTTTAAAATTTTTCTTCCCTGAATTTTGGTCACCTCGTGATCCTTTCTGGGATCATCTTTGCCTTGCACTCTGACTTGGCACTTCCTCTAATCGGTGGCTTGCTAAGCTCTTTCCCTGTGACATCCTACAGGTTATCTTCACTAAAATTCTTTGATAGATAGAAATTTTTAAAAATAGGGAAAAAAGGTCAAAGAAAGATTTTATATGAATCACTAAATTTAACACTCTCAGTCCATGTTTCAGTATAAGTGACTGTGGTTTGACAACTTTCTGGAGTACGTCTGTAAACATCTTGCTGCATAAATGAAAGGAGGGAGGGTCTCCTTTCCATTGCCCTTTCTCCTCATCTCCAGTACCAACCTATTACTGATTCAAGCATCAGCCTCAATTGTGGAGATTCTTCGTTGCTTCTTGTTCTCCTAAATCTGAAACAAAGGGGTTACAGTGGCCTTTTGTGAGCTCTGGGCAGGTGACCCCAGACCTGACTTCCTGCAACCTCAGTATCTGTGAGTTCCTGAATCACATAAAAACTTTCCAGCAGAGTAATTTTTCCAGCAACAGAAAGACTCTCTGCATGTGTAGAGCTACAGGAAGTCACTGGGTCCTTTGTGTGATTGGGTCCTGGGAGCAGTTTATTCTCTTGTAAATTGTCCACTGAAAGGAAATCAAGAGCAGAGAGTTTCTAAGTGTTTGTGGAGCAAAAATGGCTAAATCCATTCAGACTGGATCAAGAAGACCTTGGAGCAGACAAAAATTGCCAAAAAAAACTCTCTCTCTTTTTTCTACCCTTAACATAATTTGGAAATATTTTAATTTCTTTTACTAATAGTGAAATGCAAGCAGTTTGCTAAAGCCACTTAAACTTTCTAAGAATTCATTCTTCAAAGATCCAGTCTATTGGCTTCTAAAGTGAACAAGAACATTTTCAGGAATTATCTAGAGAAAATTGACGAGTTTGCCTATAGGGTAAAAAGAATCCTGCAGAATTGTGTAGAACTCCTCACAGAATTATTGTGACATAATCTGGATTATTATCATTTCTCACTTTCAGAAATATGTGGTTCATTCAGAAGGTCTTAGCTATAGGCCCTGAGATTTCCTCCTTGTTATCAAAACCATGGTGAAAAAAATTCATCCCCCTTGAGTTACATGTAAAAGAACACTGGTAGGTTAATAACACAGAATGAGAGCTCTGATCTCCTTGCAGCTTAAAATGACTGTGGCCAGATGCACTGAATTCATATATTAAAATGATCAAACATGTTGATTGCTAAATGTGAAGCAACTAGACCCACATTTGTGAATGTTTTATATAATTCAAAATATAGACAATAACTAGGGATGTTTGGTTCTTGCAGCGTTTTTTTGTCCTGGATAATGGAATGTTAAAGTATTCAAAGGCACCACTTGATGTAAGTAGCACACAGGACTTGTTTCAAAAGTTGATTTAGAATTCTGCTTGAAGTGAGTAAACACTAATTGTACAAGCCTTGTGCTGTAGTTCCCAGCTTTGTGCATGTATATGCCTCTGATATTTAACAGGCTTCCAAACCTGCATGTTTCTGAGAAGGTGTGTCTTATGCTTATACTCAAGATAGCAGAAAGTCTCAAACTAGTGCATGAAGATTTAAATTAACTAATTAATGTACGTTCAAAACAGAAGCTTAAACCCAAGAGCAACACGTAAATAAAATCACCCCTTTCTCTCTTGAAGAGAAGAATGCAAATAGTCTTTTCTTTCCCCTGGCCCTCTCAATAAACTCTGCTTTATGTACTTTTCTTGAGATTTAAAGCCATTTTTGTTCTTGTTGATGTCCTTTAGAAACCGTCTTTTGAATTTTATTTCTGTTTCATACATTGTTTTATCTTGGGAATCCCAACTCACAAAAATTTCTTGAACTAGTTTTTGTTTAATATATAAAGTAGTCGTTTACATGAAAATCAGGAAAATTCCCTTCATATCATGTGGTGTAGGGGAAATGACATATTGCTCAGATTACAGTTTAGTCCCCATCTCTGCTGTTGAATTAGGGTGTCTTTGATCACAAGGGGACAGCCAAAAGGAGGAACGGGCTGCTCTGTGTCTTGCCTTCCGTGTTGCCTACTTCTGCCCTAGCTCTGTCTCACTGTTCAGGGATGTTCTGGGTCATAAGTCAAAATGTTGACCATAGTTACTTTAGGAGTCATGAAAATGTCTTTTGAAGGGATATAACCTATGTGATCTAGAATTCTGAAGAACTGGCCTTAGAGGCTGTTTCCAAAACAGAAATAAGATAAATATTGTCACTTAATGAAATTGGTATGAAGTCACAGGAACTTTAACTGTCCTCAGTTTAAGGGTCTCAACTTCAGAATCCCAACCATTTTCTCTTTTTTTAAAGAGGTATGGTAATCCACTTCCCATAGATAAGTTAAAAATTACCTTCAGCTCACTAATTCAATATAGACCATAAGTACATCAGCCCGTATATCCTATCAGCGTATTTACTAATCTTTTGATTTCAGATTCAAAAAGGGAAGGTCCATGGGAGCATAGATGTCGGACTATCTGTAATGTCAATTAAAAAGAAAGCACGGAGAATAGACCTTGACACGGAAGAGCACATCTACCATTTGAAGGTGAAATCGCTTTCCAACAGTTCTTGGGCCATTATGGGAGACCTGATTTATCTGCACCAGTGGCAGACAAGAGATGGGTTTCCCAGCTACCTTCTCCTCTTGCTCTTTATTTCAGGTGAAGTCCCAGGACTGGTTTGATGCCTGGGTTTCCAAGCTGCGCCATCATCGGCTGTACCGTCAGAATGAAATTGTGAGATCACCAAGAGATGCTAGTTTTCACATATTTCCTGCAACTTCCACAGCGGAGTCCTCCCCAGCTGCGAATGTTTCTGTTGTTGATGGAAAGGTATGATTTTGCTCTATAAAACCAACATGGCAATTGCTTAGAAAATTATGCAGATATGGTATTCCACGTCCCATAGATAATTCAATACAGACCGTAAGTATATCAGACCATATATCCTATCAACGTATTTACTAGTCTTTTGATTTCAGATTCAAAAAGGGAAGTCCATGGGAGCATAGATGTCAGAGTATCTGTGATGTCAATTAAAAAGAAAACACCAGGAAAAAAAAAAAAGTTTGCTTTGTAAACTGACACTCAGGAGATAGCAATGACATTGGCATCAGAGTTAATCACAAATATAGATTAGGCATAAATGTGATCACCAAAAGTATTGAGAGTTATTTTTCCTTTTTAATGACTAAAGGGCATTCTATTTTTATGTGGCTTTGTAAGAATATTAGGAAGAGGAGCAAGTATTTGTTTAATCAGCACCCAGTAATCAGGTACCTTCATAATTTTAGGGTGATAATAAGAATACCCTAAAGTTCTGAAAGTGAAACTTGCTTTTTTGCCTTGAGCTGTAATAATTTGACCCAGAGAGAGCTTGTAAGTCCGATAATGAAGTTAATGCAAGTAAGTTAACCCGCTAATGAAGTTAATGCAAATAATAATACAGGTAGTAGCCTATTTCAGTGACCAGGTACTCCATGAAGCATTTGACATTCATTTATCACTAATTTTTCATAAAAACAAAGTTCAGGGGCAGTAAAGAATTTGTCCAGAATGGCACAGCATTTGACCCTGAATCATCTCTGTTTCCAAAACCACTGCCCTTTCTCTTACACCAGGTGCCAGGCCAGGGAGGCTGAGGTTGTTCCTGGGCTTCCACAGGAGCTCATTTTCTTTTTTTTTTAATATTTATTTTTTAGCTTTAGGTGGACACAATTATTTTATTTTATGTGGTGCTGAGGATCGAACCCAGTGCCTCATGCATGCCAGGCGAGCCCACTACTACTTGAGCCATATCCCAGCCCCCATAGGAGCTCATTTTCTATGCTACTGAAAAGCTACAGGTGTTGCTTGTTTAAAAGATTAAGCCTGGCACAATGACACACTCCTGAATCCCAGCTACTCAGCAAAGTGAGGCAGGAGGATTGAAAGTTTGAAGCTCGCCGGAGCAACTTAGCAAGAGCTTATCTCAAAATAAAAAAAATTTTTAAATGCTGGGGTTGTAGCTCAATGGTAGAGCCTGCATGAGATCCCTATATCAAGAAAAAAAAAAAAAAGCCAAGGTTGTGGCAACAGGCAGGGAGGCAGCTGTTTCTTCCTTTGATTCAATAATTATGTTTTCTGAAACATAGACACATTGTACTGCCCAGGGGTGTGCCAGCTTTACACCTGGCACATGAAATCAAGAACAGAAACGGCTGCCACAAGTATTTCAGTGGAGATTCTGCTTTCTCTGTTTGCTTTCACAGGAATGTACATCATACATAGATTCAGGTTTCCTTTGCAAAGCATCAAAAAAACCTCATGAAAAAAAAATCTGCTTTATTAAAAAAAAATCAGATTCAATGAAACATTACTATCTTCAATTTTGTTATTTCAGTGGAAATTGCTTAAATAATGTCAGTTAAGTCCCATTAATTGTTTTTCACAAGACTGTCAAACCTTGCATTATTTCATTCTTGTTGAAAGCTTGCTAAGGACTTTTTAAATTATCTTTTTTCCCAGAGTATAATGCTGGGTTAACATTAATACCAGCCAGTTCTGAAATAAAAAGAATCATACCAGAAGGTCGGGGGCTAGGAATGTTGGGAACTTACAGATGCCAAGATAGTCCCCAGGGTTCTCTGAGCCTTCTGTGTTCTCACCACAGGGTAAAATGAATCACAGCATTATCCAAATTAAGTGAGAAATGTATCCCAAATGGATCTTTTAAATTAAAAAATTTAATTCTTTGGTTCTTCCGGCTTCTGCCTACATCTTTGGCACTGAGTGTTGACAAAAGATACATTGTTTTCATCCCTTGTCTTATTTATTAAATGACATGGGTGATATCTGAGAATGGTGAACTGAAACCAAATCCTCCCCACTCTTTGCCTCAGACTAAGAAAGCTCGTTAACTCTGGTTTTCACAAAAAAAATCTATTTCTTTAGTTGGGAATGGCATACCTCTAAGATGTAACTTGGTAAAAGATTTCCATTGCATTTATCAAAATGCAATGAAGATTGAAAAGAGCTTTTTATCATTTCGCTTGCCTTCTTCATGTCAAACTAGGGGACTCCTGAATGGGAATTGGTTTGTGGGTAGTAAGTTGTCTGGGTTTGCTAAGTGTGTGCATCATTTACTTCTGATTTTGAAGAGACACATTCAGTTGTAATCTAATATTAAAACCAACTATGGAATTTTAAAGTTATTTCAGCTTTATGGGAAATAAGTTTCTGCTTATTTCACTGAAGTTTACTGCACTTATCCTGATATCTACATATTTCATCTAACTTTATTTCACATAAAATCCTTTGAATGGAAATTCTACCAGCTGTAGATAATGACTTGGCAAAACTGCCTTTTTATATAATTTTTCAGTACGCATTTGAAGTTCTATAAGGCTGCTTGCTGGTGGATAATGGATTTAGGTGTCACATGTGGTTGAGGAGACATTGAAGTGATTATAAGGGCACAGAGGACTTTTGGAAAGGAAGGGCTTTAAATCATGAGTTAAAAGTACCTCACCAAGGACACTGCATCTAATGCAGCTTACTGAGTAACTTAAAAGTGCTGGGAATCTGAGTTGGCAGGTCCTTGTGAGTATGAGATGCAACACATTTGAATGTTATCCCCTTCACTGATTGGTGGAGCTGGCAACCTAATGGGAGTGTTGTTACTTATGGGGAGGCGGCCAGCGCCTCACCACGGGGTCCTTTTCTCTGCTCAGGAGGGTATAAGCCACCAGAGAAAATAAGTCAGAAATAATTAGTGAAGAACAAAAGTCAGAGTCAGAATTATAGTTTTGAAGCAGAGTGCCTGATAGATCCAGACCACACAGGAGCTAGAGCTGGCCAACTAGAAAATGGCTCCTGTGGTTTATTTAAGGGGGTACCTCAAAGGCAGGGATAAGGTTTCAGGGGTGGAGTCTTGCTTCATGTTGTATTCAACAGATTGATTGACATCTTGGCAGGTTACACTCATCTCTGAAAGGCTGTGTGGCTGCAGCAGGTCACCCTGTCTCCAGTGCTGTGTGGGACGTGGGGCTGAACTGAATAGGGCTCACATGTGTCTGGGCAGTCTTGACCAGAGGAAATTTCCACTGTAAGTTTTCAGACACCAGATTCTCCTATTCTCTGGGTGCGATGCTGATTTTTAATTCACAGAGAGCCCACGGAAGGTTCTCATCAGTTACTGTTTGTAAATGTTGCCTTCCCTGGACACATACCACGTTTAGCCAACAGGCTGCCTCCATATTTTCAAGATGCCTTTTATTCCTCTTTTCTTAATCTCACTATGAGGGTACTTATGTTTCTTAATGATCATTGAAATATACTCTTTCTGCTTCATATAACCACAGGGTTCATTTCTGTTTTTGTTCCTTATAGGTGCAACCCAACAACTTTCCTTGGCAGTCTCCCCTGCCATGTAGCAATAGCCTCCCTGCAACCTGTACAACTGGCCAGAGCAAAGTGGCAGCCTGGTTACAGGACTCGGAAGAAATGGACAGGTGTGCAGAAGGTTAGTTCCCGCCCATTTGGGCTATCAGAGTAATAAGCCCTCGAATCAAACCAAACAAGTACTGAAGTGAATTGTGGGTACTGCATCTTTCACACTGACCCTTTTGATTGCCTTGACCTTTCCTTTTTCTTACTTTTATACTCTTTTTTTTTTTATATTCTTTTCCATTTCATGACCTGGGCTACTTACCTGCTGGTTCTCCTGTACCCTCACAATAAATGAACCTGATTTTGATCTTGCCTTGACTTCCTCCCACTTCAGCCTTCTCTCATCTTTTTGCTGGTTCTGCTGGCTTCCGTGTTCTCTACCCTTCAGACCCTGAAGAACCCTCTGTCCTTGCTCCTGGACTCGCTATTCTACCTTTCTCTCTAGGTCTGTTCCATGGCTGCCTTCTTTGATGCTGTCTTGTCCATAAAACGAATATATATTTCCTGACAATCCAGCCATAAAGGGCAAAATTCTAATATGCTGTATCTTTTATCCATAGTTACCTGTTAGTGGTATATATCACTAGGGATCAGTTTTTAAATATTCTGAACTAATACACGATTCCCTCACTCTGTATCTCCAAACCACTTTATCTCTTCATACTTTTTCCTTTCTTGTAATCAGCTGGAGCACATTGGTCCAAACTTGGTCCATAGGCCATTTCCATTCTGTGAGACAATTTTCATTTGATCTTCAATACCAAGAAAAACAAGGACAGTGTAGAGAGTACTTATTAGGGCTCGACTGAATTCTTAAAATGATCTTAAGATGACATCAGGATGAATTTAATTTTTTTCCTTTATGAAATTATAAAAAAATTAGATATGGTATCATTTTTATGTTCTTACTTAGAAAAATGAAAATTTGGCAATCTGTTAGTCTCCTGACCAAATATTTTTTTTCACCCCACCTGTGTGTGAACTCAAAGTCTGTAGCATTTTATCAGCCCTTTGGGAGATCCACCTCCCAAACTTAATCTTTATGTGAATATATGATTGAATAGGGATTTTATATTCATTATCACATCCAGCTGACTTACCAAAGGTTTTCCTTGGATGTATTCACCAAGGAAACACTCAGACTTTAGTTTCAGTACAATAACTTCAGGTTGGGGAAGAATCACCCACGCAGTGATTCTGAAAATTTCAGCCTCTACTCTGGAAAACTTAGGAGCAGAGAAGTTCACTTCCTTTACCAAGGTCCCATGGCTAGTAAGTGGAGCAGGGACTCACTCTGGCATTGTGATCCCAGAGTGTGTTCTTGAACATGTAGTTGCTCTGCCATCTCAGTTGTGTCTTCCCTGAGAGTGGGCCCATGTACCTTACATCCCTGTTTCTGTCAGTGCTTTTGTCATACCCCCACTGAAACCTCGGGGTCATCTTTGATCCTCCTCCCTGTTCATCCAGCCATGACCAAGTCCTGTATATTGTTTCTTTGAAAACCTCCTCCTCATGCTCCCCTTCTGTCTTCCCCTGAATTCCACTCATGTCTTTCTGACTGAGGCCCACCATTCTTGTCTCTGTGTGATCACCAGCCTCCTCACTGGTTCTCTGCCTCAGTTTCTGGCTCTGCTGCTTCCTCCCTCTCAGAGGATCATGGGAAATTACCATTCTGGAACCTGACTGCAGGTCCTGGATCAGAACTTAGCAGACATTGTCCTTCGCATTCAGCTACCAGGCACAGATGTTGCTATTATCCGCACTTTGTGGATGAGGAACCTTAAATGCATGAAGGTTAAGGAATTTGCCCAAGAAGATGCAGGTGCCCTGGTAGAGGGATTGGGACTCCAGCCAACCCACATTCGACTAATCCCAGAGCCAATTCTTTGTCCACTACATAATGCTCCCTGAGAACTATTGGTTTTTAAAATAGCTTTTATGCAAAAACTCTTTAGTGGTTCTCCATTGGCTCTGGGCCTTTAGTCCAAACTGCTTAGCCCAGCATTTAGCAACCCATGCCCTCAGCTTTCTGACCCTTCATACCCTTTCAGCCTTGCCTGCTATAGTCTCAACCAGACTTTGCTATTTTGTGGATATACTTGGGTATTTCCACCTGCATGCCTTTATACAGATTGTTCTCCCCAACCTTCAGTGCACTCTCTGTCCTTCCCTAGCTTCCTGCTTTGCTGAAACCTTTCCCTCAATCTTCCAGACCCAGAAAAATGTCTGCTGTATTTTTTTCCTTAGTTGTAGATGGACACAATACCTTTATTTTATCTGTCTATCTATCTATCTATCTACCTATCTATTTATTTATTTATATGTGGTACTGAGGATTGAACCCAGTGCCTCACACATGCCAGACAAGCACTCTATCACTGAGCCAAAGCCCCAGTCCATCTGCTCTGTTTTTGGTGTGTTCTGCTGACCTAAAGTCACGGTCTCTCTTTTTTAATCTCCTATTACACTTAAAAAACAAAAATGTATATTGATCATTTGTCACAGAGAGTATCTAAATTGAGGTTGGTTGCATTTCAAAAGTAAGAACATTTCTTGATTATTCATTGGTTGCATATTTCATTGATTGCATTCTAAAAATGTAATGTCTATTGAATGCATTATTTATCTGATTTACAGTTCTAATACTTAAAGCAGCTGACTATTTATAGATCTGGAAACCAGTCCAGACCTTAAATATATAAGCATATTTAAATATGGAGCATATTTTTTCCATAAGGATGAAATGTTAGTTGGTATAACATCTCTGATAGATTTTTAAAAAATCATTCATTACAAGAGTATTAGTGAGCTACATTCCATTCTGTTTTTCTAAACTTGACTGACTCCACACAAATTCCAGACAACTACCTTGTAACATTTTGGAGGAACCTCCATCCCTGCTCCCTTCTCCTCCCTCCTCTTTGCTCTGTCTAAAGTTCCTCCGTTTCTCCCATGCTCCCCATTCACCCCCATTATGGATCAGCATCCACATATCAGAGAAAACTTCCACCTTTGGTTTTTTTGAGATTGGCTAACTTCACTTAGTGTGATATTCTCCAACTCCATTCATTTACTTGCAAATGCCATGATTTTATTCTCTTTTAAGGTGGAGTAATGTTCCATTGTGTATATATACCACAGTTTCTTTATTCATTCATCTATTGAAGGGCTTTTAGGTTGGTTCCACAATTTAGCTATTCTGAATTGTGCTGCTATAAACATTGATGTGGTTGTGTCACTGTAGTATGCTGTATAAACCCAGCAGTGGGATAACTTGGTCAAATGGTGGTTCCATTCCACATTTTCCAAGGAATCTCCATATTGCTTTCCATCATTACCCTAAGTATATGTATGAAGGCATGAATGGTGTGACTCTACTTTGTGTAAAACTAGAGACAATTTTTTGAAAAATTTTGCTCTATATGTATACTATGAGTTGAAATGCATTCTGCTGTCATGTATAACAAATTAGAATAAATAAATAAATTTTTAAAAAGAAAAGGAAAGTTATCACACACTATTTGAGATTTTAATGGGTTCTACACTAAGAGCCATCAATTGGTAAGAACGGGCTTTGAAATCTTCTAATAATCAATGGTTTTATTTTCTAAATCAGAGAAGATGTGTTTAATTCACTTTCAGGTATCACCACCTGATCTGCCTGATCATGTTTACCATATTATGGATTGATTCCCCTTAATTACCAATACCAGCATTCATGGCCCAATTCTAACATATTTTTATTTCTGATTTTTTTTTTAGATCTTGCACACTGCCAGTCTAACCTTGTGGAACTTAGCAAACTCCTGCAAAACTTAGAAATACTTCAGAGAACTCAGTCAGCACCAAACTTTACTGACATGCAGGTAAACCTAGTACTGCTGCCAGCAAAAACAGTTAACACTTTAATCTTTCCTGGATCATTCTGTGAATATACAAGTCACATTTAAAGGGAAATAACTACAACTAATTTATATTCTAGAGTTATTTTTAATATTTTTTAATCTTGGTATCATTGTGTTAAGATAACTTAAAATGTTTTTACATTTAAATACAGTGCAAACTGCTGTAGAAATATATCTCTGGATCATTCTTCCCATGTGTCTGTTGCAATGGCTTTGAATATATATATATTTAGACACTTTCAGAATGAAGACTCTTTTCACAGAAAAAAATGCTGACGATATCTAATCTTGTTTTCATTCTGCATATCAGAAATTTTACAATTAAGTTCTTTTCTCTGCTTTAAATGAGATACCTATCTCTCCTGGTTTGCTTCAAGGTTCTAACAATTATTCCTTACTAACTGACTGTTCTGTCTGCATGTGCATCATCTGTGTAAACTTAATAATCCGTTGTTGCCTTTAACTCTCTGTGCAATGTAGGCTAACTGTGTAGATATTTCAAAGAAAGACAAGCGGGTCACAAGACGCTGGAGAACAAAAAGTGTCAGCAAAGATACAAAAATACAACTGCAGGTACAGATTTTACTTTTCCTTCCTTCATGTTTTCATATACTTTAAAAGTATTCATCTTTATATATATCCGCTCACAGATGTTGGATTGAGAGAGCAGCTTAACTACTTGAAAGCCAGTGCTTCTGAAGCAGAGTTTTTTTTAGATCTAAAATAGTAGACAATCTATTTATTTTACTTGCTTGGTCATAAGTGAAAATAATTAGAAAGAAAGATAAAATTATATGATTGCGAAGTAGCATTTTCATTCTCAATCATAGCCTTTGAACCATTAAAACTTTTTAAACAAAAAGTCACCTTAAAAATCTCAACTAAGCTGGGAGTAGTGGCACATGCATGTAATCCCAGGGGCTCAGGAGGCTGAAACAGGAGGATCATGAGTTTAAAGCTAGCCTCAGCAATTTAGTGAGGCACTAAGCAACTCTAAGTGAGACCTTATCTCTAAATAAAATACAAAACAGGGCTGGGGATGTGGCTCAGTGGTTGAGTGCCCCTGAGTTCAATCCTGGTACCCCCCCAAAAAAAAATCTGGACTAAAAGTCTGATAGATTATAATAAACATCCATTTATATATGCTAGATCTTAAAAGAACCATTTATGTATCAACTTTGTCCAAATTTTTATCTATTGACAAAAAGAGTAGAGGGTGCACTAGAATAAAAATCAACAAGCCTGGACTTTCATCTAATCACTGTGATTTTCTGGCTGTATAAATTTTGTGCACGTCTGTTAAATTTTCTGGGCTTCCATTTGCTCCTGGGTAAAGTGATGGACTTAATTTGATAATCTCTGAATTCCCTTTTAACTCTAAATTCTGTGAATCTGCAAAATAGATATTACTGGGCCTGCAATAATCACTATAAAATCTGAACTAAAGTCTTAATGGCTCATAATAAATTTAACTGAAGTTGATTTTAAATAAAATTTTTACTTGAAATAAGTAGTTCTAAATTTTTAAAGTAAGATCCTTTTATGTCATAATATTGCAGTAATACCAATACAGTAAATTCTTAAAACCTCTTGTATTTAAATCACATTATTTTCAGATCACCAAACTAGACTATCTACTATTCTAACCTTAGCTGTGTATTCTAAATGATTCTTAACCTGCACAGTCAAAATTAGACTTATGATTTAGCTTTGTTTTTATTATACTCTAAATCAATTTGAATCCTAATAGAAGGTAAAAGGAACTGCTTTTCAGAATTCTTCACTTTCTTCTAAATAATCAACAGAATAATTCTTCTCTAATTTTAACTGCTTTAGTAACATTCTTTGTATTGTAATTCTGAATGTGTAAATAACAAACTGTTGCTTTGCTTTCTAATCTGATATATTTAAAAAGAAATTTTCATAAGCATTAAAGATCCATTTTTTATTTAGAGTTCTATAGCCTGTAAATATAATTAGTGTTTCTTTATTCGGTATTTTGTTTGTGTTTTCCCTTCTATTCATAAAATTAGTACTATAGGGACAAATGTGTCAAACAATTTGACAAGAGATTCATCTAGAATTGTCTTTGGCACTTTTTTTTAATATGTTTTGAGCTTATGAGAATCTCATTTGTTTGTTTGGTGTGTGTGTGTTTGTGTGTGTGTGCATGTTTTCAGTTGAGTGTCTATGGTTCTTATAGCCAAGAAAAAGAACCATTTTTATAAATGAAAGAACCATTCCTTTAAATACAATAATGGAAGAAAGCTAGCATAATAAGAACATATCTATTTGTGAATAGACATTATTTGCCTGGTTTTTAAAAGCAAATTAAATTCTAATTAAGTTAGAGACCCATTCACAGCTGCTTTCTTGAATGGTTCATTTTCAGCAGCCCTGAGCTCAGTGCCCATGGCTAGTAGCTGGTGGCTGCTGCAGCTAGGAAGCCCATACAGCCCTGTGACAATCCAGCTTTACTGGAGGAAACAGAATGCAGCTGTGAATACTTCTGCTGGTCACAGGCAATGTTTAAACTATACCGAGAGGTTACAAGGATTTTTTTGGAGTCATCAGAAGAAATTGTTCAAAAAGCAGGAAAATATTTTCTGTTTATGTTCCTGCCATATCTTTGAATAGTTTGCTTCTTTTTAAACTTTTACTTATGCTGTCTTGTTTCTTTTTCATGTGCCAGATAGAAACAACCTGGCCCTTATCATTTTTGTTTAGATATTTTTGAGGAAAATTAATGTAATCTTATCCCCACATTCAAAGACAAACGGTCTTTTCAAAAGGGAAAGATGGTTCTACTTTAAGTAGAAATAAATAGACTTCAGGTGACAGTAAGCCACTAATCACTCTCAAAGTCCTCTACTTGTACTTTAATAGAAGTTTTCATAGACTGAAATCTTGGACCTTTTCAGCTTGTCCAAGCCAATGGGTCTTCCAGGAGCCCTCAGGACACTCATTTTCTGTGAATGGGAGTTACTCAAAGTTCCCCAACATGCACACCTGCTGGGGACCCAGCCATGACTATGCTATTACTCAGCTGTATTTTTGCCCACAGAAAGACATGGCATTTATTTTTACTCTAGTGGATTGAACATACCTATCACTTTTCCACACCCTAATACCCAGTTTCCCCCCCTCCTATTTTAAATGCTTTTTGACTGTGGGAATTCCATCTAATGATGCCAAGTATCTGTTGTGAGCTTATTATCATCTCATTTCCCCCAGAAGATCCTTACTGTGGCCAACTTCAGTGGCTCTCAGGTTGCGACAGCCCATTTTACATCCCCTCTGTTGTTTGCATCTAACCATCGGCTGTTGTGAAGGAACCCATACTACCAAGGGGTGACAGGGCTGGTGGTTGTTCCTGCTGTTATGCATTTATTGGTGTGGTGTCACTGAATTTTGAAATATAAAATAGATTCTATAAAAAAATTGAAAATGAAGAATGTGTTATACTATGTGTGCGATTGCTTATTTTTGTATGGGTGAGACCATGCTCCTGACTCAAATCTTTTTGGCCATATTTCTTCTAGATACCATGCCATAATTTAATCTCAGAAAATCCATTGTGTAACTTGTGAAGTCAACACTTGTCCTAGAATATTCTGTGTTTGTGTGTGGGGGTGGAGGGGTTACCTTTTTAAATAAATGGACTTCCTGGCTCCCAAATTTCAAATCTTTTAGTTCTAATGAAAATTTGAATACCATTATGCAGAAAGTTTGGCTATTATGTTTGTTTTTTTATTTTGGTTAGGTTTGGGGTTTGTTTGTTTTGGTGATGCTAGGGATTGAACCCAGGGCCTTGTGAGGCAAACACTCTACCAACTGAGCTATATCCCCAGCCCTTAATTATGTTTTAAATGAAGTAGAGGAAGACAAAAGGGACTGATTTTAAAAATGTGACATAGAAGAAAGAGCTGCTAGGTTTCCTGTACTGTCAATAGCATGAATGTTAGAGATGATGAACAATAGTAGGAAGTACATAGTGGCAGATCTGTCATTAACATGGAGCTATCTTAGATATCATACATCCTCAAATTACATCTCCGGTAAAAAACAAGTTCTTCCTTTTAGTATATTAAAAAGGTAATGTGTGTAGAAAGATTTCATGAAAAACATTATGTATGTATTTGTGTGACTTACTTGTATGTGAACAGAAAATTTGTGAAGATGGAAGAGAAATATGAATGTAATTTGGAAAATTACATCCCTTAATCTCATCTACCAGAAGGAGGGGAAAAAATGAAAGAATTCTTCTACTGGTTCATGTGTAGGTGTACATCACTAAATGAAACTAATTCTTCCGGTTTTTCAAAGCTGATTTTTATGGGGATTGAGAAACTTGAGATTTTTTTTTTTCTTATCCTTTGAAAAATTGTTCAACTTGAAGATCTCAACACTTTTCCTAAAATTGAGTCCCAGTGAGCAAGCTTTATGGTAGGGGATTAAGTGGAGGCTGATGAATCCTGGGTCCCCTTCCTTATTTATTTATTTTTTTCTCTCCGTAAGAAAAAAAAAATCTTCCTGGTCCACCGGAGGCCCTCATTACAACCTGTTCACATTAGCCTTTGCACATTATTTAATGTTAGCCTTTGCACATTATTTAATGAGTTTTTCTTGAACTTTTTTTTCTTTGCTCCCATTAATTGAATGCCTTTTGACTTCGTGTAACATTATATCACATAACTAAAACAAGACACATTTTAAAATCACAGGCTGTGCATCAGTGCATAACCCACCATCTCCTTTTGAGGTAGGGGTGATGATCTTCAGCAAATAGTCTTAACAGAGTTTGGGTGACCTACAATGAGAATAATGAACATTTCTCATGGCATTGAATGCCCTTTTGAGCTCTTTTCTATGCTAAGATTTTTGTTTTGTTTTGTTTTTAAAGAAAAGTCAACTTTGGTTAAAATTCTCCGTCTCCCTTGTCTGATTATCTTTCATCCTCCTATACCCCATCCTCTCCCCTCCCCAACCCTCCATCCTGTGTTTTTACCCCCTTCTCTTCTCCCATTCACTGTCAGGAAGGGCCACCCGCGAAGGGCCAGTTCAGCACAACTCGGCGCCGGCAGAGGCTAGCAGCAGCAGTGGCTACAACAGTGAGTGGATTTCAATCTCAAGTGGAAGTTTAATAAGAATGAGAACCTGTACGAGGGTAAACTCCCTGTTCAGACAGTGCCACCCGTGTGCAATAGCATCAACTGTAGCCCACTCATATTGGCATAGCTTTCGCATGTTGTTTGGCTGTCTTTGCATGGCAGCAGTCAGACATGGGTATTCATTTTTGCAAGGAGAAATATTACATAATCCAGTTCTTTTTCTTCTGCTGTCAGTGTAAGAAATAATTTGAACTCAAGTTTGCCAAACTGATTATAGTGCCTTATGGTGGGGGAATTTATTTAATGATATCATTTTTGGTTTTGTCTCTTTTTCTTTTGCCATACTGATATTGGAACCTTTGTTAACTGATTTCTGTTTTTCTAAGAAAAGTCATGTTGCTACAGACATAAATTGTGCTTTTTTTTGTAGCAATGTGACTATTTGAAAAGGATGTGAGAAAGAAATGAGAGGGTAAGAAAAGGTACATTTCGATGTCATCTCTAAATGGCTACCCAAATTATACTTTGCAAGGGAAAATTGTTTTCTGGAAAGAATACTGACATGAAAATAAGAAAATGTAGTGTAGAAATGAAAAAACAAAAACAGAGTTAGATGGTTTAATCCATAGCCAAGATTGGTTTTTCTTTTTTTTTTCTAAAAGAAAATAGAATAGATATAATGGTAGTAGAGGACATATTGAAGTAGTTAAGGCAGAGAATATTGAATATCCATACAGAATTTAAAGTAGAATATTTAAATTTAAAATAGAATATTCTATTTAAAATAGAAGAAACTTTTGCTAAGTCAGATGCCATAACACACTCCTGTAGTCTCAACTACTATGGAGATCGCTTGAGCCCAGGAGTTGGAGGCCAGCCTGGGCAACACAGTAAGACTCTATCTCAAATCAGAACGAAACAAAACAAAAAGGACCTTTCGCTGAATGAAAGTGAATCATAAATTTGCTGAATTATGAGATGCTGGCAACTTTTAAAAATACAATATATCGAGCTAATTGTAATCATTGATATTAGGTTTTTTTGGCTATAGCATATTTCCTGAATTAAGAACAGTCTTGCTCTTGTTAAGGGTGAGATATATTTTAAGACCAGAATTGCTGAAAACTATGAAAAGATTTTGGTTGCACTGTAGGTGAGTGGCTACTGGTGTGGGGATTATTGGCTTTCTACTTTATGATTGGTAGTTGACTATGGCTTTCCATCTATGTGTTGAGCTGCATTGTTTAAGGAACAGAGTTGCTTTTGATTATTAAAACAACCCATGACTTGGATTTTATTAGGGAATTAAATTCACAGTCTTGAGAACATTGGAACAAATGAATTATTGAAGTTGCTTTCACATTCAATGAATATGCTATGCATGTATTCAAATTCTGACAATAGATACATATGTAATCAATTAAATTACTCAACTGTAATTTTTCATTTACAAAATTAAGAAATCCAAATGATTATTAGAGAGAGAACATTATAGTATGGGGAGGGAAAAGTGAGTCATTTTATGAAAATATTGTTTTCTCAAATAACATCCTTCTGGGGTGACACATAAGGAAGTGATTGTGTCTTTCCTGTGTTCATTTATTAAATTGCAGATACATACAGTGAATGATAATAAAACTAGGATTACCACTTATTCTATTGGGATAGAATAAGTTTTTATGTTTTAATTGAATGTAGAAGAGAAAAATCTTTTAAAAGAAGAAAGCTTTAATGTCCACATTGGTCACAGAAATCATAAAAATGATCTAGGTGTGTCCAATGATAAAAGCTACTGGCAACATTTAATAACATTTTCAGGAATAACTAGGAGGAATGTCTATGTTAAATGCTCTAGAAACTGTGGCTTGGATGCCATACTAAAAAAGAGCAACACTAAGCAGGACCCTCGGCTGGCTCCCTTAGCCCTTCTCCCTGTCCCAGGGACCTGCGCGGATAACTCGGCACCCCTATTTCTTTTAGTGCTGAGGTCTGCCTGTTCCTTTCTCTTCCCAGCACTGAAGTTATCCCACACATTTTGAGCCATTCCTATCCTGTTAGATGTCTTTCACCCAGAACCCCTCTGGATTATTCCTACTCACTTAACTTTCCTCACCCACTCAAGGTGTCTTGGGCAACTGAGACAGTGCCAAAGCAAAGGGTGTCCAAGGAGATGTTTCCAGTATTTATTCTTGTTGACCCTTAGTGCTAATACTCAGAATGCCAACTCACAACATCAGCCAGACCCCACAGAACAGGTTGGAAGCAGAGACACACTTGCTTCTTCCTGTGGAAGGACACTGAAGGTCTCCAAGCAGTCCCCCAAAGGATTCCAGGACCCATAATGCCAGAACAACAAAAACAAGGGACTTTTCACACTACCTCAATAAGTCCTATAAACTTAGCATCTGCTTAGTATCTATCTTAGACCTTTGCATTTTTTATTTTTTTATTTTTTATTTTTTGGTGGTGGTGGTAGTGCTGGGAATCAAACCTGGCAAGTGCTCTTTCATGTTGACTTGCTAAAATTCACTCTCCTTTCCTTTCTCTTTTGACTTCTTCATAGACAGTTGTTGTGAGCAACTCCTAGTAGCCCCATTCCAAAAGTTATTTGTGCCAAAATATTCCAGAATTGTAGGACTTAAAGGAAGCTTTGGATTTCCTTCCAGAGCAGAATAGAAAGGCCCAAATACAACATTGAGGATTCTCAAGCATAACAATGGAGAGCTGTTGGCAACTCCCATTGTAGCCATCACTGATAGAGAAATAAGCTAGCATTTAAATATTTGAATCCCTAAATACTCAAACTGATGAGTAAAAAAACCTGAATAAATAAATAGGTTCATCCCCAGAGTGAAGAGATGTTCAGTTAGATTAATACAACTCAACTTGTATTCTCATTTCATCTCATGAATTCCTCAATTAAAATAACTCATTCAGCATACTTCTTTAACAAAAAAGTATCAATACATTAAACATTTTCAGTAAGAAGTATATAGAAATTAGTTTTCAATTTCCCAGGGAACCATCTGATTGCAGTTTGAATGGAGCATTCTGCGTTCCTTTCCCTGTGGGTAATATACAAAACCACTTTCACTGTTTTAATAGCCTATTTAAATTTCCATTATGTTCAAAATATAAATTTGTAACTTATGTATATGTTCTCAGTATCTGACTCCAACATTTGAAAGGCCATTATCTCAGGGACAAGTACGGGTCCTTACTTTTCACTGTGTAATGGCCCCCATGCATACTCTCCCCCAGCTTCCATGACCTTCTCCCCACCCACTCAGAAGGAACTCCTAAGCCAGGTGGGTCTTTGGAGTATGGAGGGCTTCTGAGTGCATATGAGCCCTCTTCTGTGAAATTCAGCTTATGTGCCCGCCCCTCCCATTACCCAACACCCACATTCATTTTTCTTAGTGCTCTTCTAGTTCCTTGGATGAGAAAGCTGTATCCTTAAGTGTGAAAACTTCTTGGTCCACCCATGTCTTCAACTCATGTCTCTTCCCTTGACCTTCTTATCTTCACTAACCTTTTCATGGATTCTCTGTTACTCTGTAGAGATTTGAGCAGACTACTCTTTCTAGATCAGCATCACCACAGTTAGATTTCCTTTGTCTATCTCCAGACTTTCTTCCACGTAAATCCCATTCCTTTGTAGGTATCCCCAAAGGACCTCAGTATTCGTCTAAAAGTAATCTAGGCAGGATTTCAGCAAATTATTGAACCTCATTGCACTATTTTCTCAAATGGCTTCTTTGCCACCTCTTTGTTTCAAATCTAGAACAGGCAGAAGTTTTGTGCATGATAAGATGAACAAGTAGTTGATATCTCCCAGCTCAGGGTAGCCAAGGTTCCCATGGAGGATGAGGTAGAGTGACTTTGATAACTCCAGGTACCAAATGCTTTGGACCATGTGTGTTAACATGCTTACCTTAGGTGAATTTAGAGGAAAAATTTCATGTTCGCTTCCTTCCCTGGTAAACCTTGGGTATCTTTTGAGGTAAATAACTCCCTGCCAAGGCAGAGTTACATCAGAGAGGTTCTCTGTCTGGCCTTAACTGCCCTTTGGTTTCACCTCAGGCCAGAATTTTTGGTGCTTTACACCTCCTCCATCTGTCCTCTATCTCTCAGAAACACGGTGCCCTCTTTCCCTGCCCTATCTAGCTCACCAAATCTGTTAAGAAGTTTAAAGCAAAAAAAAAAAAAAAGAAAAAAAAAGAAATGTTTCTGACATAATACACACATCAGAGAAAGTAATTGTTCTTTCCTCCCCTGGCATATTTCCTGTTAGGAAACAGGAATCATTCCTTCAATTCTATAAAACTCAGTTTGTGGTGGAGTCTAGAGTATGGTTCCTGAGGACAACTGAATGAACTTCTATGCAGTAGATTTAGCTAGAAATGACTGGTAATATGACTCCAAGAGGAATTGGTGTTTTTAAGAATGGTTGGCCAACAACATTTGTGATGCTCAGGGAGAGTCTTCTTGAAGGAGAGGGGAGGAAAGGTGCTTTGCCTCCACCTGTCACAAGCCCAGTCCAGAGCCAGCCTGGGCAGGTAAGCATTCTAACCTTTTAGGAAAATCTATAGTAATATGACTTTTTCTACATAATGCTTTTTAAGATTGGTCTGTTCAAAAGCCATGTTCATATAGCTATAACATAATTATATATAACATACAAAGTTAAACTACTGTGATTGATGTACGTTCTGTTTACTAATATATATTTCAATAAATCCATCTCAAAAATAATAGTGAGTCTCTTTAAGCCATTATTGTATTTTCTACAAAACTTTATTTGCATGTTGTCTAAGGGGCTATGGAGCAAATGAATCTTTCTCTATACATATCTCTCAAATTTTTATATATCAGTAAGATTCTACTCCCAGCTCAGAGAGGAATGAGCAACACTTGTAGTCAATTCAGTTTTCTGACAGTTATTTTTCAGGTACCTGTGTGGGTTCAGAGTTGAAGCTTATCTGAGGCTATGCCTCTTCTTGCTGTCATTCTGTTGTCATCTCTCTCTGTAACAGTGAAACCAGTGAGTCCATGGCAGTTCTAAATCAACTCTAGGAAACAAGACTCCACGTCCCAGCCCAACTACCTGTAAAATAAATGAGTACTGAGTCTCTGAGTGTGTCACTAGAGAGGAATCTATTATTTTAAAGACTAAGGGAGATCTTCTCTATGTAGGAGCAGGTGGAACAGTGCACTATTGCACTTTAATAATTTGTATCTTCCCCTTTCAGGTTCCTTTCAGTGCCACCATGTCACCAGTTCGCTTGCATTCCTCCAACCCCAACCTTTGTGCAGATATTGAATTTCAGACTCCCCCCAGCCACCTCACTGACCCTCTGGAAAGTTCAACAGATTATACAAAGCTGCAAGAAGAATTTTGTCTCATTGCACAGAAAGGTAACAACAAATATAATGTGACCTTTAAAGAGAAATACACATTGTGTTTTTAGTCACTAACACTTAATTGTGAACTAACCATTTATTTCCCTTGGAGCTGCTGATAGTAAGTTATAAAATATTATTGAAAATACAAGTTAAATGGAGCATTTCTGTGCCTCTTAACACTCAAAATCATGGTGGCCCAGGAAAAGAAAGAGGGAGGGGTGTACCCTGAGGATGTCTCTGGAAATCCTAAACTTGAAGAAATCAAATCATCAGCAAAGATATTCTGGGGTATTTAACAAGAACTTTGGCTTCCAAGATTAGTCTTACTATTCAAATTTCAGATATCAGGTATTTGAGAGATAATCAGATACATAGATGTTTCTTTCATGCCGTAATCCTAAAATTGGCTTAATCTTTTTTTCTGTTTGTCAGTTGAGATTTTTTGTAAGGCCAACATCTCCCACCTGCCTTTTTTACTCCCAGTAAATGCATTTTTATTGCATTATTAATGGGATGCTAATGATGTTATTCAACTAAAGCAATAATAGTTTGCTTATATAATATCATAGATTCAAGCCAGTAACTTTTACTTCTGGGATGGGGTGGCATCAGATAGAATGAGACAGCAAATTTATGAGAGGAGAGAAGCATGTGAGCATAGCAGAACTGCTAAAGGGAGATGGGTTAATTTGAAGGCGCCCCAGGAAAACGTTGTGTATTTGGTTGCAATCCTGGAGCTTTCAGGAGACCCAAGTTTCAACAGACTTTTAAAGCCTCTGTTGAAATTACATGTTTTCTTTTCAACAGACATACAAATTCTCTATGCTAGAAAAAAAAGAGGAGGGTGTTTACCATGACTGTTGGGTGAACTCTTTGGAAAGCATTATGAGCTTTAAAACTGGTGTGGAGTCTGCTTTTAGAGTTACTGGCAGGGTTAATGCATTTCAGCTATCAAGTTATTACCTTTAAATGGATGATGGAATGTAACATATAAATCAATAGATGTGAATCCCTTGGGATCCTGCAGTTTCCCCCTTTGATTTAGTGGCTGTATTTTGTACTGAAAATTTTCCACTTCTGTTAAAAATAATATATAGCTCAAATAAATACCTATTTTTAAAAGCTGCATATTATAGTAACTGTTATTGTAGAAAATAGAAGTTGGAAATTCATCCTTTTTGTAGTTCAAAATGAAAGACTGTTTCAGATTTTACCAATATAAGTTGTCAGGTATGCAGGAAATGGAGGGTGAGGTGGTGTTTTTTATTGTCGCTTTTAAATCAAAGTACTTTTGACATCTAGACATTCCTGGGTGAGAAAGCAATCCAAGTGCTATTCTTAAAGCCAAATCATTTCCTACCGCCAAGGGAACTAACCAGAACGTCTAGATCAGCTGCCTATTTTATATTGACATGACTCATAAAATGCTCTTTTTTGGGTGTATGCTTTGGGGAAATAATTTTGAATAACTCTAAATGATTTGTATGACACTTTATGCTACACAAAACTGCTCAAAATATTATCAAATATGACAAACAAAACGTGTTCTCTGTTACTTCTAGGCATTATAAATTCATTTCTGAACACTGATATTCAGAGTGGATTTTAATATTGCATATGCTAGTTCCAAATCTTTGTTGCTTTGTCTGATATGAAATCCTAAAATTTTCACCCTAATTCATAACAATTGCCATGCTTGTTTTAAGTATAGATATTCTGATAAATTCCATTTTTAAGGCTGATTTTTAATTAAATTGTAGCATGGCCTTTCCAAACAATGTCTAGGTATGAAAAGTTTATCATTTTGTATATTCTTTGGATGTGTTTATATTTGCTTCTCACATTTGTCCCCATCCAGTACATTCTCTTTTGAAGTCTGCATTTAATAGCATAGCTATTGAGAAAGAGAAGCTGAAGCAGATGGTTTCTGAGCAGGATCACAATAAAGGCCACAGCTCGCAGATGGCCCGGCTCCGACAGTCACTGTCTCAGGTAAATGAGAGTGTTTGTTTTCATGTGCATGACACAGTCCCAATCCTGTCAGGCAAGAGATGGGGGTGGAGGTGGTCAGTCCTAGCAATGACACGTTCCTCTGAAGTCTCCCAAGATGTTGCAATGTCAGGATTGAATTTTATTATGTTTTTTTTTTCCCCAAAATGTCAAGGGTAAGAGTGAAAATAAACCAACTGCTTACATACATATATTCATTATTTTGACTAGTTGAATACTTAATGCCTGAGGTCATTTATTCAAGATAGACCCTGGTTTTAAAAGAAAAAAAAACAGACATTTATAGATGATTTGCATATATAAAGTATGTTCTAGAATATATCCAGTCCAATGGTTAAAAATAGAATCTCCTAGGTCCTTCACTCTTAATATTTCTCCCACTTAGATTTTTAATCTGTTGAAAATTGCCAATTACTATGAACCCATTTTTTTTTCTTTTCTGGTTTTCATTTTAGGGATTTTCTTCCAAGCTAAGATATGCTCCCCAAAGCTAGACTATTATACGTCAATATGTATTATTTAGTTGCTCTTGCTAAAACTAACCAAATCTCTGCATATATCAAACTTGAGATTTCTGAAACAAATCCTTTAAAGCTGTGCTTATGCCTTTTTATACCAAGCACTTCCTCTGAAGTAAATATTTTCTTCAGTTAGTCCGTAAATGCACTTATTTTACTTCCTCTAAGAATTTAATGTTTTGTATGATTTTTGTGAGAACTCAGTGTTTATGTAAAATATTGTTCACTTCCTGGTGCCTTGGATCAGAGTGAAGGAGCAAGCAAATCCTGGGTAAGTGGTTCTCCATGTGGATCAGATCCTGCTTGAATATCTTCCCTCAGTCCCTGAAACTTAGATGTAAACTGTATCACATGTTTTATGTACCTGAACTGTCAGCATATATTCAGTGTTGTTTCATGTTATGGAGTGCTGCCATCTGGGCCACTTGACAGCATTCACCATGAAACACTGTTGGCTGAGGTGCATACGCTGCTTCCAGTGCTAAGCCAGGGGCCTCAGAAGCATGTGCACCTGTTCTGCCAGGCTGCAGAGGGCTTCATTCATAAGAATACTTTGAAGAGCAGGGAGTGGTGGTGCATGCCTGTAATCACAAAGACTCTGTAATCACAGAGACTCAGAGGCTAAAGCAGGAGGATCTCAAGTTTGAGGCCAGCCCAGGCAACTTAGCAAAGCCCTGACTCAAAAAATGAAAAGGACTGGAATGTAGCTCAGTTGTGAGGCACCCCAGGGTTCAATCTCCAGTACCACACACACACACACACACACACACACACGAAAGGTACTTTAAATGTTCTCCCTGGACTCTTCTCATGCCATTTATCTGTTGAATACTCAGCTGATATTAATTGATCTTTCAAATCATGGACAAATAAACATGCAACTGTCACCTTGTAAATACACATAAAATATATTCTTGATCCCCTAAATGTTGCAGTGTTTCTTTAAGATGGGCTTAATGATAGAAGCTTAATGATATAAATCAAGCTTATACTAAGATAAATAAGAAAATTTGCCTCTTGCTTGCTGCTTGCTTGCTTTTGAGCTTCAGGTGAAATTAGAAATGACTAGGAAGAGGAATTTTGAAAGTTATTCATTTCTCATTCAACTGACTTTACTAGGTATTATGCAAGATTTGGCATACTATGCACCTGTTTCCCAGGAGGCTTGTGCTCTGGTTTGTGAGATCAGCAATATTTGCCAAAGAAACAGTTAAATGGACCATACTGTACTATTCCCGGGGTACGGTGGTGCAGATTTCCAGAGCTCTGGTTGTTTAGAAGAATGGTAGATCCCTGAGCTGAGAGCACAGTCCAGATCTGACTTCCTGAGAAGACAAGGAAGAAACTGATACTAACATGATAAAAGTAAAATCAAGCAAAATTATATCAACTCTGCATCCTTTGGGCTAAAATATTTCTCTCTCTTACAAAGACATATTTATTAGCATCTAAAGTGAGAGCCCCAATAGTTTTTTTCTGGGGTTTGGAGGGTTTTGTTTATTTTATTTAGTTTTTTTTTAAGGAATCAAAAGATATGAAAATAATTTGGGACATAAAGACTCATGCTCCTATTCATTAGATAATCCAGTGATTGCAATTATGTATTACCACAGCATTTCACGTTTGTTCACATTCTTGTGTTCATCCGGACCCTCCAATTGGGCCAGTCCTTCCCTCTCTAGCCTTCTTTCCCATAAGCTCTAAGTTTGGACTCTGGTTTAGAAATCACCCCAGCCTATGGCTAGGCATTTAAGTTTACTGACATTTCACTGCTTTCTGGTGAATTACTATTTATGGTTAGACCACTGGAAAGGTGTATGGAGAATGGAGTGAACAAGGAAGCTACTTTAAGAGTTACTGGTTAAGTGGTGGAAAAACAGCCCATTGGGGCTACATGAAGGAGTTTAAATTTTTCCTTTCAGTGATGGGGAGTACTTAAGAAAATTTAACTGGTGAATGATAATGCCAGAGATTGGAAATATTATTGCATATTTCTGTATATTAGAAAGATTAGTCTTGTACAGTATGGAGATTTAGTAGAATTAAAACAAAACTAGTTTGGCAGGCACATAGTATTCAAGATAATTTGAGAATGTTTTGTGATACTCAAGGTAATATTCCTGAACTAAGGAAGTACCAACCTTTATAGAGGAAGGGATCAGTTTCAGAGACACAAAGAGAATCAGCTTGGCTTACAGCTGAACATTATTAGCAAGGGACCACAAAACAGAGCCAAGACAAGTCCAGGCTTTTTACTTGAATAACTGGCTGTATGATAGTTCTTTCTCCTCAGAGAGATCATAGAAGAGGAACAGGTTTATTGTGCAATGAGTGATTTTACAGAGATGAAGATGTCTGAGGGACATCCAGCAGGTTACACAAATCAACAGACAGAGAAAAAGATGTGGATACTCTAGTATACCCGTGAAGTTATAGAAGTTGATCAGTTGTGTTTTCAATCAGAATAAAAGGGGTTCAGTGATACTGGAGCTGCTATACAGAATGTTAATATTTTAAGGACAGTCTAAGAAAGAGCTCCTTTGATGGAAAGCCAGGGGAAGCAACCAAGGAATTTAGGAGTGATGACTATTGAGATAAAGGGTGGAGTTTTGATGATCTCAAGAAGGAAAAAGTTAACATCCAATTTAGCAGAAAATAAAATGTAGATTAAAAGTCAGCCCTGGAATTTGACAGTGTCATAGTATGACTGTATCATGAGGGCAAAGAGCCAGCAGGTATAGAGATGTTGAAGATGGGAAGCAACTGGGCAACCATCCTGGTTGGCCAGCTCTATTTTCAGTCTCCTTTTTAATATAGCACTTGAGATTGAACAATAAGACTGGGGTGTAACCCAGTGATAGAGTGCTTACCTAGCACTTGCAAGGTCCTGGGTTCTATCCCCAGCACCAAAAAGGAAAAAAAAAATTTTTTTTTACAAATACCAAATAGCTTTCATACATGGAGACAGTTGTTCTCCAAGTCCTGAGTGTATTTTATATTAGTATAATTTCACATTGTAGTGTGATTTTAGGTAGCCTAAGGATATCTTTGGTCCATATTCAAATGTCATCAGTTAAACCCTCAGATAACTTTTTCATGACCGGGTCTCTCCCCCAGAGAGGGAAGGAAGGAGAGAGATGGTATTTAAATAATTTTAAGTCTAACATTTTTAAAGCTTGTATATTTTATTTGACATAAGACCTATTCGATATATATCTAATTATTAAAATGCTGCTTTTCAATGAGACTGTTAAGTAGATATATCATTTCAGCAAATTCCATCATCCTTTTAGCAGGCACATAGCATATAAAACACATGAAATTAGCATTCTGCACTACATGCTCAGCATAAATTGTTGCCCGCCTTGAGCAAGTAACAGTTTGCCAAGATAGACAGCCAGATGACTTCTTCTCTTACTATAATATATGTACACACACAAACACATGCACACGCATGCATAATTCTGTTGTTTTACCCTCATAAAACTTAAATTAACTTTCACACTGGAGCAAAAGCATCCATGTTGGACTTACACTTGTAGGGCAGGACATTTTATATAGCATCTGTCCTTATAATTTCAGCTCTAATGTCATGTCCTGATTTGTGTAGTACTCTGAACCCCAAAATTAAATAATATATAATAAGACAAAGTCAACCTTGGCACTTCTGATTACCATAATAATAGAAGATTCAAGACTACTTGAGTCTGTCTTCAGTATATCACCTATACCCCTGTTACTAGTTTGATTTCTGGCCCTGGAATTTGTGCACAGTTTGTGCAGAATGCAGTAGGAATTGGGGTCCATATAAATGGGAGCAACTGAATATGACCATCTATTCTAGCTAGAATTACTACAGTTCATTAAGTCAATATGCTGTCAATTGTTAGATGCATCATTATTTTGTGCATTACTGAGAAAAAAAGAAACCATTACTGTCAGTTGAACTGACACAGTGCTTCAGAGGTGCTCAGAGTAGGGCGAAATGTGTATCTTAGAATCAGTGAAATATGGTCTGTAAGAGATTGTAGGCAAAAAAAAAAAAAAATTGGCTTAAGGCTCAGAGTACTGTAATTTAAAATCCCAATTGTAGAATCTGTCATTCTGCCTGTCCACAACATTTCACATAACCAAAATAAATATTCTGTGATGGGATAAAAGTTTCAAGTGTATTTATTTATTTCTGATTTCCACAGTTCCCTGGGGCTTGGCCAAATTTGTTATGTGTAAAGATATTTTTCATAGACTCCTGTACATCATTTTTAGTTCTGTCTCAAGTTGCTATTGTTTTATCCATAATTTGGCAATATTTTAAAAGCCTTTCAAAGTTTTTACCCCTTGATCTGGTAGATCCTTGTTAATATGACTAGTCTAAGGAAGTAATGTAATTACAGAAAATAATTATGCACATAAATTTTCATGGTATATTGCTTATTTTAGTAAAAAATCAGCAATCATATAAGTGCCCAATAATAGGAAATCATTGCTTATTATGCAACTATCAAACTCATGTTAATGAAAAGGTTGCAATATAAAATAAATGCTTATGTGCCAAGAATAAGGGGCAGCTACAAGTTGGGAACTACACATCCAGTAAACAATATGAAAAAAAAAAAACACTTAAGAAAAAAAACTAGAAAGAAAGAAACCAAACTGCCAACAATTGGGTAGTAAGGTATGAATTTTTTAAAATATTTTTCTACTTTGTTTGCATTTTCCAAATATAATAGTATTTTTTTAATTGAAAAAAACAAGGTGATTTCTAAGAGATGCCCAGGATTTGGCTTTTGGCAGTCCTAGCTATATTTGTTTTCTCACTTCTTCTGAACCAGTTTTGCTTTTATGCAAATGGTTTGGTGTTATGGCGGTTCCATCTTGCCATGTGTTTCAAATCCTTCTTCAGCCATCAGGCAGCCCTGTTTTCTTTCCAGAACCCACATTCCACTTAGTATGTATGCCATTGTCTCACTTAGTCTAAGGTAAATTCTCCCCCATATCTGAGAGGTCTGTAGCTTAAAAATCAATTAGTTAGGTAATTGATTCTGGCTCAGAACTTCAAAATGGAAACTTCTTTTATGGATGGAGAAAGAATGGTATGTTTCTTGGCTATATTAGACTTGAATGTATGTGAGGGGCATGAAGCATGGGGAAATGAGCATGCTCTATAGAGTTTTTAGCACTGTCCAAATTCACTAGATAAGTAGTAAAATATGTGTAAAGCCTGTTTGGAGAAGGCTGTAGGCACAGTTCCTAGTTTCCAAGTTTTTCCTCCCTGTCAGGCTGTGATCCTACATGCCACTGATAAAGCAATGCTACTACTGACAAGTCTTCATAGCTTTCCTTGCTCATTGGCTGGCACCAGTGGCTAGTGATCTGCTTCCTTTTTCCTTGCTTTACCACTGTTCACTCTCCTTGGGTGCACCCCCTACATTATTTCTGCCATTTTCTAGGCTCTTTCATGGTAATTATCACTAATAGTATCATTTCCATTGTGATGACTTAATTCTTCAAGATTTCCATATTATTAGAGGAAAAAATAGGTGAACTTCAGAGAGGGAAATATTCAATGTGATCTGGAGTACAACCCAAGACTGCTACACCACAGAGCTCACAACATTCAGCTGTAGCAAATCAAAAATAGTTTGTGATCAAGGCAAATGGAGGAGCCAGGTCTAGTGAGACGGGCAGAAGTGGGCTGTTGCATGCTTGGTTCTCAATTATGCTTTCCACCATGGGGATTGCCAGAGATGAAATTATTTATTCCCATGCTTTCTGTGCTATGTAACAACAAGAAAACTCCTTCTAACCACAATGAAATCAACTCCCCCATCCCAAACCCGGAATTACTTTTATGCTATCCTGGAATTGGTAGTTATTGTTCATGCTGATAACCAGAAAACATTGTTGAAAATTCTAGCCTAGCATTTCAATCAAATCTGAAATGGACTTTAAAGGTTAACTAATATAACTGCAGTATTGTTTACTAAAGAAATTAAGGCACAGGGTGGCTAACACCTGTAATCCCAGCTACTCAAGACATTGAGGTGGGTAGATCCTTGATTTGAGATCAGCCTGAGCAACTTAGCAAGATCTGTCTAAAAGAGAAGAGAAAGAAATTGAGCCCCAACAAAGGCTGAGTAAAGACCACTGAGCCTTGGAATCAAGGAAACTTCATCTTTTGACTCCCAGGCCAGGATTTTAATTTTTCACATGATATCTAAGAAAAAGAAAAATTATTTTCAGATGATTTTTTTAAAACCCCTTTTAGCATATTCCTGTACTGATATTAATGGCTAGAAGTTATCTTGTGTGCCCTTCACACATACTTATCGGCAGGATTGCACTGGATAAGGTGAGAACTTAATGAAAATTTAATATTTTTAAATATCCAGAGCAAACAATTCTACGACTTTCCTTATAAATGGCAAACCTATGTTTAACATTCTCACCCTGAAGAAAGCCTTACTTATCCTTGCCCTTGAGATTTTGCAGGGTTATTTCATTAACACCATGCCAGCGGCAACAGAAGGTGCAGTCACTTTAGAGGAACCATTAGATGAGGTTTATATAAAACCCTCAGGTCAAGACAGTGATTCTGCAATTAAACCCATCAAGCATCTTACCGTGAGGCCTCCCACGGACATGGTGGCAAAGTGTGTCTTGTTCCAGATATTTCAGTAGCTAAGATAACTTTGCATATAGTGTAGGCAGAGAAATAATGAAAAAAAAAATAAACATGTCTATATAGTAGTTATAAAGGATAAGATTAGCACAGTATTTTTTTTTCAAATTCTGAGTTTTCAAGATTTTGCTCCAAGAAAAATGATCCTGAGCAGTTTTACAAGACAAAAAGATATTAGGATTCTTCCTTTAGGGTACATGGTTTATTTAATAAGAACATAATCACCTCTTTTTTTTTTTTTCTAACACAGCCGTGATTTCTCAAATAACCAGGGACACATTTCCTCCTATCTCCAAATGCAATGGCTGTTGGATCTGTATCCACCAATACTTGGCACATCAGACCAAGTGTATTATTTGTTATTTATAAACTGGTTCTGAAGGCTTTAAACAAAAGCCAAAATCCGTGAGTGAACAATTCTGTTCTCAAAAAGCAAAAGCAGGGTTGAAGACAGAGAAGAAGTGAGAACCAGAATGAGGAGAAGAGAGGCACGTCCTACACATGTTCAGGGAGTATGCCCTGCCCAAGTATAGAGTTTGACTCACTTGTGTTCACCCGAGGTGTTTTAAGAGATTCAGAGTTATAATTAGGAGTTTACATTGGTACATGTATTGGTTTGTTGTATTTATTGACTTAAGTGAAGCAGAATTCCCATTTCCTGGGCATATGGTTTCTTTAGTAAGACCTAACATATATCCTCTAAAACATCCACCTCCATCTTCTTTTTTTTAATAATAATTTTTTATTTGTTCTAGTTAGTTATCCACCTCCATCTTCTAATTGCTAATTTTAATGGGAAGGAAAGGAGTTGCACATCTTTACACTGGGTCTTATCCTCATCCAGGGGTTACATTTGAGGCCTGATATAATTCCAGTAAGCCACATCTCTATTATATAAGTGAAAAATATTCCTATCCATCAATGTGATGTGCACTCCATGGAGGACACTATACCTTTGTCTACAAGGGCCTTATCGGGAAGCCATTTGTATGTGAGGCTGTTCTGCTCTTATAATAAATGCAGTTGCTGCATGTACTGAACTCTGTTATAGCAAATGGTGTTTAACTGATGCTAGTGTGTGTGTAGTATGTTGAAAGTAGTGTGATGGAGCTAACTTAGAGTTGGTTTACTATTGGTGTTTGTTCTCTATTATGGTTGTCAAAGTCTACACTGCTCCATGAAGCACCTTTGGGTTTATGCTCAAGTTAGTTTTGCTGCACTGACATGGGTATTAATTATATGCTTCTGGAAAATTAAGATGCAACTGTTTGCTTTAATCAGGTTCGAATACAATTCTATAAACTAAAACCAATTCATTCCACTTCCAAATAATTTTTAAGATAACCACCTGACTTTAAAGTGACTCTCAAACTTTAGAAACTAGAACTAAAAAATGAAAGAGTCATCTCAGGCGGCAAAAAGCAATATGTATGTGATGCTAGGCTAAGGCCTGGATGTAATGGGCCTGAATCTACAAGAGAAAAAAAAATCCATGAATATTAAATCCACTAACTCCTTCATCTCACTAACTTACTAAGCATGATCTTATATTATAAAAAAATAATTCCTTAGTTCTGAGCCATTTATTTCCTTCTACCAACAAGATATGGCTCATGATGGTCCCAAAAGTTGGAGCTAAGAATATCACAGACTTTGTTGTCAAAGTTTTTACCTGTGTACTTGTTCTATCTTATGCTTGCTTGTTAATTAGAAATTACAAGGGCTGTTTTTGTTGTTTTAAGGCACTCAACCAGAACGCTGAATTAAGGAGTCGGTTGAACAGAATACACTCAGAGTCTATTATTTGTGATCAGGTTGTCAGTGTAAATATTATTCCTAGCCCTGATGAGGTAAGACTCATTTTTAATAAATGTAGAGTATCTATTTTATAGCATGTAAATTCACTGTATATTTTCACTTATTTTTATACAGTTCCTTCTCTGTTAATAAGATTCCCTCCATAAATACTTAGGATGCTGACACTTCGGTATTATCTGGAGTAAATGATGAACATGAGCTTGACATCATTTATTCTTGGTGATCAGTGTCTAATTTTATTTATTCCTGTGTTCACCTGATGCCACCAAATATTTAATTTATATATCTACTCCTGCTTGTGAGTTTTTCTTCTGTCACATTTCTCATTTAAAATGCTCATTAACATCACATAACCAATGACATGTTGGAAGAAAACATTTTTAGCTGAGAAATTGCTAAATGAAAGTTTTCCTAAGGTTTGTTTTGAAAGTCGCCTGATCTTGCTGGAATAACACTAATGGTGCTGCTGTAACTACCACTGAGGGTAATGATGGCAGTTAATAGCTAACAGGTGTCAAGTGGCGCTTGTTGTGTGCTAGGTGTTGTGCTAACCACTTTGCATGTGTTGTCTCCCTTGACACTTCCAAGAACTCTCTAAGGTAAATGCTATTATTGTTCCATTTCTCAAATTGAAGAAATGATAAGAGAATAGGAAAACAATCAAAATTTGGGTTAAGCTTAAGTGTGTAATTCTGTTTATGGCCCTTTATAAAATTATTATTTTATAGCCATGAGAACTTAACACTGTTCAACGGTAATATTAAAGCTTTATGCACAGTGATACATGTACCAAGGTGAGAATTTTAACTTTAGTCAAGTCATATTTGTACCAAAAGCATATGTTTCACTAGCAATCTATAGGTTCGAGGGTTACACCATCCAGCTGCTTAGCAAATATTATCCAAGACCACTTATCTTGAACTTAAGTTGCCTCCCTGGGTTCATTCAACTCTAGAAGCCCTTGGATCTCCGATGGCATTTAAATTCATTCAGCTGCCCAGAATCTGGAAGTATTTCTGAAGTTTATAATTCAAAAGTCATTTAATAATACTCAATTGATACCTTCTTTTCAACCTAATGTGCATTAGAATATATATGTGTGTATGTTCTTACATAGTTTTTGAGTAAAACTTAAAAAGCACCTTGAAAACAGTTATTTATTATTTAGGGAATAAAAATACAATTTGATACAGTATTCAATGCTTTGGTCATTTTCCTGGTTAAAATTCATGACCTAGTTTGAAAATGTTTTTTACATATTCTGTTTCAAAAATTAGTCTCATATATTGTTTTCTTACCATGTATCTAGTAATGACATTCCTAAGAATAAGAGAAAGAACTTATCTGTGCAACCCATGCAGGTTATGAGTAGACCTTAACCTGTTAAATTCTTCTTAATATCAATGAGCATAGGTTTAAAATCAAGTCACGATACCAGCCCGTTTCAACTATGCCTTCTAAAATCTTTAAACATATTGGAAGGAAAGTAAGGTAGTAGGGCATAAAAATTACTTGTAATCACCAATATTGTAACGCACAGCATGGATTTCTCTAGAAATCTGGCTGATTTAAAAGAAGTTATTCTACCAAGGGAAAAATTGATTATTCTGTGTGCTTCTCTTTTCTGTAGCCTGGTGAGCAAATCCATGTCAGTCTCCCCCTTTCACAGCAAGTAGCCAATGAGAGCCGCCTCTCCATGTCAGAGTCTGTGTCTGAGTTCTTCGATGCTCAAGAGGTGCTCCTCTCTGCAAGTTCATCAGAGAATGAGGTGAGGATCCTGGATGTGTCTGTCTTAGCTGCTTAGGACTCTGAGTTTGGGTTAAAGAAAGTGAAGCTGTGGAAATTTCTGGTTGTATTTGTTTACATCAAATTGTAACATAGCCAAAAGTATGCAAGCCATTTTGGTTCCCATAGACTGAGCACTTAACAACACTTCTGGGCATCTGCTTGCTTAGTACTCTTAAAGTTGATGAATAAAGGGAAAGAGTCACACATTTATTCTGATTTTCTTCTCTGAGTCATATTTCAGAGTTACCAAATAGTTGACAATAGAGTTCTTTATGGGAGACTAGCTATTAAAAGAGAAAAAAAAAATGTGAGAATTAGAAAACCACCATTCATGTGTAAATGCAAACACATACATGTTATGTATCTTTACCAGTAACATGAATTTGAGCATAGAAGGATACTATCTGGCATATATCTAGCTGTTTAATTGTGGTTCTTGGAGGTTAGACACAGACTACCACAGAAGCTTTATTGAATTGTTCATTTTCATGAATCTTGAAAAGGTCTAGATATGGAACTTTTTTCCTGGTCAGGTTTCAGGATATGATTCAGTTACTGAAATTCACTCAAATGTGCTTTGTTTTGTTGTTGTTTTGTTGTGTTGTGTGTAGGGGAAGCAGCCAAAACTCTTTCCTATATAACCTATTATGAAATTTATCATTTGAAATTGTCTGTACTGAATTTTTACCAAAAAAATAGTTGCTAAATATTATTTCTATATGCATAGAAAATAGATGGGAAGGAAACATCCTGACAGTAGTGGTTGTTTTGGAATGCTTGAAATTATGAGTGATTTTAGAAAAAAAAATAAAATGGAAAAAAGCAAGAAATGATGGACACATATCATTTTTATAGTGGGGAAATGTAAAACAGAATTCTTGAATCAGAAGCTGACTTTGTTGGCATACCAGGGCCTGCAGCTGTTGCTCAGATCCCCAGGCATACGTTAACAGGTTCAGAGAGACTCCCATTCACGGTGCAGAGGGCTAGTTTAGTTATGTGTAATGGTAATTGATACTATAACAGATAAACAGAATGATCTTGTTTGCTATTACTGCCTCTTTCTCTATAGACAAATCTTCATGACAAACCTAATTGTAATCAGGAGGCTGCTTGGTGAGCAACAAATGGGGACAGAAGTGAGTTCAGTGAACTTAAGGTTAGGAGGGCCAGGATATGACAGCTTCACACTCCTTCCTTTTTATAGGGGTACTCTGCCACTTGGACAGACATTTATGTCCACACCCCCAGGGATGACCTTGCAGGATTTTTTTTTTAAATCTGACTTGTCTGAGTTTCCATTGCTGACCAATCCTCCATCCTTCAATCAGGGTATAGTTAAATTTGACTGCACATTATCTGAGCTTGGACCTATCATCCAGCTGGATGTCCAGGTATCTCTTTGTCTAGTCTAGGGATACAGAAATGAAGAGGCTGTGAAGCAGACTATTGCACAAGTCCAAGGAAGATGGTGTTGCAGCTTGGAGAGGATCATTCAATTTGAGGCATCATGAGTTTGTCAGACCTCTGTCCATAGGGGTTATCTGCCAGGCATGTGAATACGCAAGTCCAAAACTCAATGACAGGGCAGGTCTGGAGACAGATTGAGTCCACTCGGGATCCATGTGACAGCTACCTGTTAGACATTGCCACCTGGGTATCCATAGTTCAGCACATGAAAATAAAATTATCAACAAACCCCTTTCCCCACACACCACACCCCAAAAAATAAAAAAACATGCACCCATACCCTTCATTCACTTCCCCCAAGTGTTCACCTTGGATATTGGAGCATTCTCCTTTACTCCTTTTGTCTTATTGCCACCCATATTGTTTCACTCATCAGGGTCTGTAGCTCCTGTCATCTAAGTGCTCTCAGACCCAAACATTTTTCTGCAGCCTCACTGCCACTATTCCAGTCCAGTCCAGTACTCCCACATCCCCCACACCTGGATTACCCATCCACCTCAAATCCAGTTTTCCTGCCTTTTTCTCATCCCTTCCAATCTGTTTTCCACTGGGCAACCTGATTAATATTTCTAAAAGGAAAATCTGATCATGTCCTCATCCCCCAGTGTCCCTAGGATAACAATCTAACTACTTAGATATTACACGAAGACCCTTATAATCTCATCCCTGCTCTCACGTGCTGCCTTATGCTACCTCTGTTCTTAAGACCTCTAACAGCAAAAGGGGTAATTCTGGTGTTGTCAATTTGATAAAAACACCTGTGTCCCTTGCTGTAGCAAGGAGAGTGATTCTCCCCTAGATCTCATTGTGGGAAGATCTGAACTGCACACCTGTCTCTATTTTACAGATTTTCAAAAATAACTGTTTGTATGTATACCTTCTCCCTTTATAGCACTCAGTCTTAAGTATTTGAAGGGGCCAGACCAGGAAGTAAACTCAAGTGACAGTCACAATGATGTTTTCAGAGTTGTTCATCCTCTTTGGCTAAGGCTTGGTTACTGGGTCATGCTCATCCACCCTAGTCCCTGAGTTTCTTTGGGATGGTACCCCCAGAAGGCTCCTCGAGTCTCCATACTAACAGACTTGACAAGTCCGCTGGGTGAGTTTTGCCTTGCCTGTGTGAATCCTAGCAGCAGCTGCAGGGCAGGCTCAAGAAACATGTTCTGTGCTACAGCTCTCAGTGGAGATTGGTCCCCTGCACTTGCTGTCCACTGTGTTTGGAGCCCTTGTCCACAAACAAATTACGTTTAGCTCCCACACACATTTAACGGCCTCCATTCAATTTAGCCCCTTACTTAAAAGTCACCTTCAGGAAAGCCCACACTAGCTGACCTTTCTAAAACTTAAAGCTGCCATTTCCTCTTCTCCTCTAAACTTTTATATCCCTCTTCCCTCATTATTTTCCTTCATAGTTACCACTAACAGAATATGTCTTTCCTAGATTAACTTGTTGAGTTTGTCTCCCCCACTATCATGTAGCTTCATGAAGTCAGAGACTTTCCTTTGTGCATCCAACACTAGAACAGTTCTGGTGAACCCAGAGCAGGTGCTCAATAAATATTTGCTAACTGAATAGAGGAAAGAGTGCTTGTAACACATTAACATGGGGTTATTAAGAGCATCTGGGTATTAGCTGTCTTACATCCACATTTTCCATGAGTGAGAGAAAAATCTTTAAGTGGTATCTACCAATGCCCTTTGCTTAATGAATCCTTGCCTCCTTTTAAAAACACAGGTCACCTTGCTTCCAGAATGGTCTACTTGCCTTATTTCTGCTTCTAAAGTTCTTTTACAATGCTGTATCCCTGGTCACACTTGGGGATGGGGGGGAAGCTTCTTGAACTCTTCTGAACTCCAAAACTCATAACAAGAAATATTTGACTCCAAGACTTCTTGATCATGGGGGTGAAAACAAACTGTTTATTATAATACTGCAGAGTCTTCAGCTGTCTAAAGGACAACATAAGGGGATCATAGCAAGACAGCCCAAACTTAGTTACTACACACACACTATGGGTACACATCTTATGTTGTGTCCACCTTCGTTGGAGAATTCTTTTACACCAGTGATATTAGATGACTTCTATGATATATTAGTTTAGGAGAGGTCCAAAGTTAAAGAGTAATAGAACATATTTATAGCTTTTTGTAAAATAAGCACAAGTGGTTTTTTTCTTTTTTTTTTTTTTTTTTTTTTTTTTTTGGTACTGGGGATTGAACCCAGGGGCACTTAACCACTGAGCCACATCCACAGATTTTTTTTTTTTTTTTTGAGACAGGGTCTTGCCAAGTTGCTGAAGGCCTTGCTAAGTTGCTGAGGCTGGCTTTGAACTTGGGATCCTCCTGCCTCAGCCTCCCAAATTGCTGGGATTACAGGCGGGTACCACCATGCCTGGCAGCATGAGGGTTTTCTTAACAAACCTTTAGACAATAAACATGTACGTTATATGAATTTGATTTGGGGAAGGCATTTGTTTCTTCAAACACGATTGAGTGTAATGAACATTTTTCAGAGAAACTGAAGAGTTTGATTCACTTTTTTTTCCTACTAAGCTAAATAACTTAGCTTTCCAGAGCCTGTTGGTTTTCCGTTGCAGTCATTGAGAGCTGGGAGAACCAGGTGCAGCAGGAAACTATGAGTCAGAAGCAAATGCTATTTTCCACCTGCCATTCTTGTAGATTTACACTGTGCAAAAGCAAAACTCCCATTAATCATCATACATATAGTCATGCTGTCCACCACTCCAAACACTCCTTTCAACCCTATTCTTAAAAGCATTAACAATAAATCCAGTAACATTAGAGATAAAGATGAATTGTTTTTATTACATACAATTTTAAAACCTTTTTTTATTTTTTTATTTTTGTTATTAGTTGCTCAAAACATTACAATGATCTTAACATATCATACACTTGATTCAAATGGGGTATGAGGTATGAATTCTTATTTTTCCACGTGTACAGATTGCAGGATCACATTGGTTATACAGCCACGTTTATACATACAGCCATACAAGTGTCTGTTGTAAATGGCAGAAAAAGTTGACAAAAACAAAATTTAAAAAATAAATTTCAAGCTAGGAAAAAATGTGGAACATATGAAAACAGAAAAACGTGTGAAAGATAAGAAAACAAGTTCATGAAAGATGAAATCCAGAGATCTTTTGATGTGTATTAGGTAGGTAGATAGTGACAAAAATGGTGATTTGTAGTGTTTAAGTAGATATGGAGAGGTGGATGTTTCCCTATACTACTGGAGAGAGCAAATTAATAGAGTCTTTTTTTTTTTTTAGAGAGAGAGAGAGAGAATTTTTAATATTTATTTTTTAGTTCTCGGCAGACACAACATCTTTGTTGGTATGTGGTGCTGAGGATCGAATCCGGGCTGCACGCATGCCAGGCGAGCGCGCTACCGCTTGAGCCACATCCCCAGCCCTTAATAGAGTCTTTGAGAAGAGAAATTTGACAACATAAGTCTAATACCTAAAAGTGACCCATTTGATCTATTTTTAAATAAACAAAATTTTTGAATGAAGCAAATGGAATAACTTTTAATGGAATCATTAGGAAGAATTACAAAAACATATTTCCAAAGATATTAATCCAACTATTGTCTAGAAGAATAAAAAGTTGGAAATCACTTAAATGATGGTTAAATCCCTTATGCTATAAATATATAATGAAACATGCTACTTTTCCAAGTAAAGATGAAGAGCCATACCCACAGTAATGGAAATGTATTTAGAAACTACAAAACAACATGGAAATTGATCTCCTTTTTCAGTAACCACAGAGATATGTGTCTATGTAAGCATTTTGAAATCAGGGGATAATAATACCACCCAATGGTCAAGTGGTTTCCTTTAGATGATGAGATTATAGATGATTTTCATACTTATCTGTTTACCCTCATGTAATTTCTAATATTTTAAAAATGATTGCTTTGTTTTCATGTTTGGAAAAAATATATAGCCTTTTTTACTTTGAAGAAAGTAAATAAGTATTAACAGTTTTCTTGCTTTTGGTAAAAATTTTGACTTTTTCTCCCCATTTCTGTTAGAGTTCTTATTCCTCTCTTTTATTATCTGCTGTTTCTAACTCCCCTTAGTGTATATGTTGTTCCCTAATATCATTTTATGCTAAGTTTGGTTTCACTTTAGTTCCATGCTTTCTCCTGAAGAGAGTGGCTGAATCCTCCTCTCTCCCCAACCTCAGTGCAGCTGTCTGACTCTTAGCTGTCAGTGTTCCTCACCTGGATCTGCAGAGCCCTATCATCCAGCCTCCTTAGGGAATGCTGCCACTGATCTTCCTGGAAACTAAATCTGATTCTAGAGTTCCCTTACATTTTTTTAATAACCCTTGCATTTTTTTTAATGACCCATGGAGTTCTACATGACTCCTTTGATTGGCCTGAAAAGGCTGTCATTGTCATGCCCTCCACTTGTCCTCCCCACCCTCTGTCAACCTGCTCTCAACATCTTAGTATTCCTACCATAAATGTTGCTCTCTTAGTCTTTGCTTTTGCACCTTGCCCCTTCTTCCTGTGCTCACCGTCCCCCCCCCCCCCCCCCCCCCCCCCCCCCGTGGTGATGACTGGGCACCTCCCATTCGTTCTCTTAACAGTTCAAATATTTCCTTCAGGCTACCTCTCCTGAGTCCTCTAGGTGGAGTCCCAGGGCCTTCTTACTGTACTGTCCTCCAATATTTCTGGTTATATACTGACCTCCTCAGCTTCCCAACCCAACTAAGACAAGGAGCTATTTAAGACAAGGCCTCCTTCTTAGCAATCTTTATCCTGGCTTCTGGAAGACCCTAATTCTTCTCTGTGTTCTTTGCACATATGCCAAGTACATTTCCCATTACCACCTCTGTTTCTCATTTAAGCACTTTTTCTTTCTTTCTTTTCTTTTCTTTGTTTTTTCTTAATCATTTGATTATCTGGGCTTTCAAGACAAGAATCAGATCAAGAATTCTGATTTCTTTGTGTTCTTCCTTTCCTTAGGCTTCAGATGACGAGTCTTACATCAGCGATGTGAGCGATAATATATCTGAAGACAACACCAGTGTTGCGGACAATATTTCTCGGCAAAGTATGCATCATTTGGGCTTCCAGGTTGTTCTATCTACATGCCAAATTACAACACTGGTGAACTAATGAACAGTCACTCCCCTCTCCCCCTCACTAATTATTCTTTTTCCAGCTGATTGTTCCATAAATTTTAGTTTGCATTATCTGTTGAGATTAATGGTTACAAAATCTGTTAAATACATAGTCTAGTGAAAAGGTCTTACATCTTGCTTATACTCACTTTAAATCCTTCTTATTAAATCTACTTTCTAAAATTTGACTTGTCTTTTCTAAAATAACATTTAACATCTTGTTTTTTTAAAAAAAAAAATCCTCTGATATTTTGTGAAATACCTCATGAAGAAATAACTCCATTTAGTCTCAAGGGAATATAATGAAGGCTCAATAAATGTATCACAATCAGAATTATTTGAAGAAGTTCTTCCCTGGTTTTATGAAATCAGAAAAGAAAAGTATCTTTCACTGTGATTCTCCTCTCCCAGTCCTGAATGGGGAGCTCACAGGAGGCGCCTTCAGAAATGGCCGTCGAACCTGCCTGCCTGCTCCTTGTCCTGACACTAGTAACATCAACCTGTGGAATATCTTGAGAAACAACATCGGTAAAGACCTGTCGAAAGTCTCGATGCCTGTGGAGCTCAACGAGCCGCTCAACACCCTGCAGCATCTCTGTGAGGAAATTGAATACAGTGAGCTGCTGGACAAGGCCTCAGAGACTGATGATCCCTACGAGCGCATGGTAATAAATGACAGGGCAGCACCTGTCCTTGGCTAGACCACAAACCATTATGATGACACATTCGGGTTTTGCGTGACATTCCCACTGCATAGGTAAGAGAGGAATTGGCCTGTTTGCGTAATCAAGCAGGGCCAAGTAGTTCTAGATATCCTTACTGGAAGATGCACATTTTGTGATTCTATCTGTGATCTAGGGTGTCCCTAAAGTTAGAATGCAAAGGTAGCCAAGTCATGCCAGATCTTGCCTTATCAACTTTTCCTGAATGCCAACACAGTCCATCTGCCCAGTAACTTATTTTTAAGAAAGTGACTTGCTGTAGGTGCTTTGCCCTTTATTCCATAGATGGAAAAATTTGCCCTGCTCTCCTCCAACAGGCACCAGCAGCCCCACCCTCCTGTCTGTGGTCCTGAGACAGCACGTGGTGTAACCTGTAAATGGGTTTCAGATCCTTTGAACTCTGTGACACTCATGAAATTGGGTGGACATATGAATGGAAAGTACTTGACCTCAGTGTCCTGCTGGTTCCCATGGAAGAAGTACAACCTCATTTTATCTTATTTTTTCTCCCTGCAGTTCTGTACAAGTAATAGAAACTGCAAAAGGCATCAAGTCAACACCCATCAGTGTTTGTAAAATCCACAGGAATAGGGACAAACAGACCCGGCAGCCATGGCTCCTATATTATTTTCCTTTCTTGAATGTTTTAACAGGTTCTCGTTGCTGCGTTTGCAGTTTCAGGATATTGCTCCACCTACTTCAGAGCAGGAAGTAAGCCATTCAACCCAGTCCTCGGGGAGACTTATGAATGCATTAGAGAAGACAAAGGATTCCGATTTTTCTCAGAACAAGTAAGTGAGATTTCTATATAGGTAGGAGGGCAGTTTGGTGATGAAAGCAGCCTTTTGATACTTTTGATATGGATGTGTTTCGGATGCATCATGATGTAGTTAACAGAAAACTCATTTGGCTTGTCTGTGTCATTACCCCCTCTATATGTTTAAGCACAAAGTCCTAAAAGTTAAAGATTTACTTATCCATCCTGAGAATAATTCACTAATAGAGATGGATGGATTGTGGTTTTCATTGGGAGGTGACCTTTTCACATTGTAAATAAATATCACTTATGAAAATTTTAACACTGCCATCATTGCCTTCTTTTTTGTTTCTAATTATCAGGTTAGCCATCATCCACCCATTTCTGCCTGTCACTGTGAATCAAAGAATTTTGTGTTTTGGCAAGGTTTGTATTTTAATTATAACTTATAGTCAAATTTGTGAGTCTATGGAAAATTTTCTAGCTTTTGAAGGTACACTGTACTCAGTTTAAATTTCTACCTTTGGAACTCAGAGAATATTGGTAATTGGTGTGGAACTCAGTTTGAGAAATTAAATTTCCTGGTTTAAATATGAAACTGTGTCCTCCGGGAGATGAGACTGTGCATCTAGGAAGCAAGGCCCATCTAACACAGAGCTCTATGCTGACTGCCAGCTTGAAGCCATTGTTTTATCACATGGGCCTTAATGTCTGCATCTATAACATAAGATCAGTGGCCTTCTTACTTTTGAGGCATGCAGAGATTTTAATCCTGAAGGATGGTTCTAAGGTGTATCATCTGTGGTCAAAGTCTGTTTAGATATACAGTCAGCCCACCATATCTGTGGGTTCCACATCTGTAGATTTGATCAATCTCAGGTGGAAAATATTTGGAAAAAAATTGTATCTGTACTAGCATGTATATTTATATTGTTTTAAATATTATAAGTAATCTAGAAATGATTTAAAGCATGTGGGAGGATGTCCATGGGTTATATGCAAATACTTTGCCATTTTATATAAAAGACTTGAGCATTCTCAGATTTTGACACCTGTAGGTGTTCTAGAACCAATACTCCATGGATAACAAAGGACATCTATATAAACATTGCAGTAATTTGTATTCTTTAACTTGCCAGGGCTCCAGAGTTAAATTAAAGTCTCTACTTATTAATGCTCACTGTTCTTTCAGAATGTTACAAACTTGCCTAAAATAAAAATTTGAAACCCCTTTAGAAAGAAGAGAATATATATGTTGATTTGACCATTAAGTATAAATATTCCTTCACACACACACACAAGATAGTTCTTTCACATTTGAAAGGATGCTTTGTTGCTCACAGAATGAGTCTTCTCATAAGCATTTCCTTAACCTGGAAACACACAAAATGATAGAGCCCTATAACTGTACTTTATTGCAAAATAAGACAATAAATCATTTCTTAGTCATAACCAAGATTCATAAGTTTTGTGCCGACAGCACTAAGCTCCCTTAGTTCATCAAGATGACACCAGGTGGTTATCACAAATGTCAGGTAGATCCAAACCTCCACGAGTAAAACCTGAAGCCAAAGGATGAAGCTCTGGGCTTCAGGCTGTATCCCAGCTGCCAGTGTAGGGATGTATTCATTAAGTTAATCCCACTTTCCCATAAATCTTTCTTGTCTGTGTTTAAAGATAGTATTATTATTTTTTACTCTTCTCCCAAATCATAACTCTTCCATGTGGTGTGGGAAATGTGTATATAAATCCTGCAATTATTTTTACATACACATCAGGCTTGATCAATATGTTAAGTATATTTTACTATTTGATTAAAACTGAACATTTATTACTATCTACATATTGATCACTGTAAGGTCTGTTTATATGTATAAGTGGATACACAAACATATATACAGAAACACTTATTCCAGGCTTCTCTCAGTTTTGTTAATTGAAAACAAATATGGAGCATGGAATGGAGAAACAGTAGATTGGGGGGGGACTATGGTTAATATTTTCATGTCAGGCCATCTTCAGGTACTTGTCATGTTAAGTCTACAATATAGAGACTTGTGATTACAAAAGTGCTTTGTGGAGTATAATACAGAAGTGAGTTTTTACAGAACAATTAGATATGGTGTGTGTGTATTTTTGTCCTCTGCCCATGTCATTTAGATATCAGATGGAAAAACAAGTTCTGGGGGAAGTCCATGGAAATCCTGCCAGTTGGAACACTGAATGTCATGCTTCCAAAGTAGGTTGCTCTCCCCTCTCTTTCTTGGCGTCTTCCCTGCTTTTCTAAATCAGAAGGTCCATTTCCCTGTACGCCCAAAGTATCTGTTACTTTCAGCACAGTTCTGAGATGGGCCCCCACAAAAACAAATGAGAACTTTAGCAACTGTACCAAAGCTTCCTGTTTATTTCTCCTTCTCCATTCATCAGCCAAAACCAGACACCTACCAGGTCCTAGTCACCATGCTTTTTCGCATTTCAAATGAAAGGTTTTCCTTTTAGTCATTTATTTTTCTATATACTTTATATTTTCACTTTTGAGTTTATCTTAGTTCTAGCGCCTGTTTTACATTTCTGTTATTTTATCAAAGAAGAAGAATGAGATCCTCTAGGTTTGTATATAAAAAGATTTAGAGGATATAGCCTATAAGTATTTTTACATTAATGGAAGTTTTCATTAAGGCCAAGGACTTGATGGTTTTTGTTTCTTCTTTGGTTCATTTTGTTTTTGTCAATTTGAATGACTGAGTTGCTGGTAGGTTGGATATAAAGGAAGGTAAGGAGAAGGAGATAAACCTTCAATATTTGGAAATTCACAAAGAGGAAGGAGTTTTCCTAAGTGTCTCTAGTGCCTACATCATGCCAATTTGAAAATCTTACAACCATTTTACTTTATTTTGAAAATAGCGTTTCATTTAAAAAAAATATAAAATGTACAAACTTAAATGTGTTTTAAAGCCATGTCATTTGGTTCCTTAGCAGAAATTCCATAACCTCACTCTCCTCACTCCTCAGAATTACATTAGATTTGTGGATTTGTGCTTGCCTGGTTTTTGTTTGTTGGTTTTGGTTTTTTGTGGTACCAGGGATTTTGAGACAGGGTCCTGCTAAGTTGCCTAGGCTGGCCTGGAACCTGTGATCCCCCTGCCTTAGCCTCCCTAGTAGCTGGGATTATAGGCCTGTGCCACCTTGCTCAGCTACTTGTCTGTCTTTTCCCCCAAATAACTGTTCCCTTCTTTGTTCTTAACATGCAGTATGAAACAGTGTTCTTAGAGTAATCAGTCTTAAATGTGCACCCTATTGAGCCTCTCTCCACCACAAATCCTTCCATAATGGCCCCTTGCTTGAAGGGTCAAGCCATACTCTTTGAAAGGTCATTGATGGCCTCCCTGCCCTGACTCCCTCCACAGCTACCATCCAGAGCCCACCACTCATACACCCCCAGATGCAGCAAGCTGTCCTGGCCCCTGTAGCTTTGTCCATACTTTCCCCAACAGGTAGTACCCTCTTACCCACCATCCAAGCTTAGATCCAACCCAGCCTCTTCTAGGATATTTTCCTTGAAACTCACCCAGATTCCCTGTGAGCTACAGATGAAAGACTCACCCTCTGTGTTACCATGATGCTTTGTTCATTTGTCTGTTACAGCCCTCGTCATATTTGGCCTTAAGTATCTGTTTACATGTCCATGTACTCCTACCATACTGTTGGCCCCAGAGGAACAGCAAATAGGCCCTCTTCAACTTTGTAGCTTTAGCACCTGGCCCTAGAAACACTTCACTGTTCTTAAATGGATGAATCATGTCATAAATATTTGCCTAGAAACTTTCAAGAAAAAAATGAGAGGGAAATGGGGAGAAAGGAAGCTCTGGCCAAATAATATTCTCATTAGTATGAATAGTAACATATTTGTGACCTTCATCATTTTTAATCAATGTTCTATTCCTCACTAGGTATGGAGATTACTATGTGTGGAACAAGGTGACCACATGCATTCACAACATCCTCAGTGGGAGGAGATGGATAGAGCATTATGGAGAAATAACAATTAGAAATACCAAAAGCAGCGTTTGCATTTGCAAACTCACATTTGTCAAGGTAAATAATGCCATGGGACAGAAAAGGCAAAATAACACACAGCGTTTCCTTAGGAAGAAACAGAACATTTACCTTATCTAGTAGCAATTAAATCTGCCCTGTATCATTGGTCTTAAGAACCTTTTTTGATAAGAAATCAGGATCATTTTATGGAATTATTCAAGACATGTAGGCTTCTGAAAAAGTGGAGGTCAAAAAAGGCTCCATTTCAGAACAGAAAATAAAAACTAATTTCTTTCTAAAGAATCTTCTAAGTAGCCAGTCAGTTGATTCAGTAAACTTCCAGAAAACACTTTTTGCCTATACCAACTCTTCTGTTTTCTTTTTCTGTTCCTGCTTAATTTCAACATGTTCAAGTGATCTTTTGGGGGGGGGGGAGCCAATTATAATGCAGTTGTCATTTTCTGAAAATACTTGAGTAGAACAGCCATGTCAATGGTAGCTACCAGTCCCTACAAGCCCATCTAACCCTGCCATTTTTATAATCCAAACACGTTCAATGCAAAGCATTTTGTTTAGTGACAAAAATAAATGTTTGGGATAGAAATGCACATAGGATGCCATTTTCCCACACTCTGGTCTGAAGTAGAACATACAGCATTACTTCCATGTTTATTTGGGTCTGTTACAGAATTCAGCAGCTATTTCTATAACATGGCCATTGGAAATTCATCAGAATCTATGAACAAAGGGAAGATTCAAGACAAGAGGATCTGAGGGAAAAAAATTCTAACCTGTAAATTAATATTAGATTCTTAGGATAGAAACTGAGCCTCCTCTATGTTGTGCTACCATGCTATATCCTGGAGTGGATATTAGCCATTTCTTTTTTTTTAATTGATTGTTGTATTATAATGATAAATAATAATGGGAATCACTGTGACATATTGGTACAAGCACATAATAAAAGTTAAGCTAATACATACTTGGAAAACCAACCTTCCATATAAAACATTTTGAGATAGATTCCCGGAAATGGTGAGAATAAGAGACTTCAAGGTAAGAAAATTGTTCCATATGGAAATTACAGAGATCAATATTATTAAAATGACTTGGGTTTGGTTTTTCCAGGTGAATTATTGGAATTCCAACGTGAATGAAGTCCAGGGGGTTGTGATGGATCAGGAAGGAAAGGTAGTGCACCGGCTATTTGGGAAGTGGCACGAAGGTCTCTATTGTGGTGTGGCCCCCTCTGCAAAGTGCATCTGGAGACCAGGTGAGGCTGGTGTGAGTGCCCTGCATCAGGAAGGCCTGTGAGTGGCAGAAGGGAAGGCAGTAGCAGGTCATCCCGTGTAACTCACCTTATATTTTCTTTAATGGTGAGATTTAAAAAGTAGGTGCATGGGGCTGGGGATATGGCTTACTTGATATACTGAGTGCTTGCTTCACATGCACAAGGCCCTGGGTTCAATCCCCAGCACCACTAAATAAATAGATAGATAGATAGGTATATATAAAATGCTTAGTTATATTTATACAAACATCTAAGATATATATATATATATATATATATATATATATACTAGTATATATATATATATACTAGTATTTGAAACTTGATAGTGAGAATTTAGGCCAAGTCTCTGGCATGTGGTGACATGACATGTTCAAACTTGATATGTAAAAATCACTCTAAATGTAATGCCTACAGTATTTCAAAAGCTAAGTATATTTATTAAAGAGTTTAAATAATTTAAATATATAAGCTTAAGTCCTTATGTTATTTTTTTGTTTCAGTAAAACAAAGGAAAGCTTACAAACATCTTTAAATCCACAAATTCAGTAATTCACCAGAATAAGTGATCTTTTCACTCAAGTGGCAAAAAAAAAGCTTCAATATGTTGATATTTAATAAAAGACATCAACAAAGTTCTGGTATTGCATTAACATATAACTGTATATCATATTTAAATGGAACAAGTCTTCAACATGACATTTACTTTCCTTGGAGCTTGTCAATTAATCTCTAATTTTAAAATCAGTTATTGGCTTCCTAAGATGTATTGATGCCTATTTAAATTTCCTGCTAGTAGAGCAATTAGCTCAGTCATTAGTAACTACTTATTGAGTACTGATTGTATATCAGGCTTCATTCTAGGACTTGGAAATACATCAATGAACAAAGCACATAAAGATCCTGCCTTTCAGTTTAGAAAGAGGTGATGCAGCCTAGATCGTGGAGTAGGCTTCAGCAGTCTTTGAGACTCTTTTCACCACTAATAAGCCAGGCATGGTGGTACACACACCTATTGTCCCAGCAGCTCAGGAGTCTGAGGCAGGAGGATCTCAAGTTCAAAGCCAGCCTCATCAACTTAGTGAGGCTCTAAGCAACTCATCGAGACCCTGTTTCTAAATAAAATACAAAAAAGGGCTGGGGATGTGGCTCAGTGGGTAAGCACCCCTGGGTTCAATCCCTGGAACCAAAAATAAAAATAAAAAAGAAGAAGAAAAAGAAATAAGTGCCAGTAAGTATTAAGTTAAATCTACATATTTTTATTTTATTTAAAAAAAAAAGTAAATAATAAGGGTTTCTGGTGAAATTTTAGTGTTCATAGTTAACCACAATGGCACTTAGTTCCCAATTGAATATGAGGGAGGAGAGTTTAGCCAATAAAGACCATACTACATGTGCAAGGTTTTAAAGACTGAATTTTATTAAATACAGAAGTCTATCACTTCTGATCATCAACATAAACTTCCCCACCTAGCAAAATATAACCAATTTAATCCACTTGAAACAAATTCACAATCTAGAGTTTGTGACTGCAGTGTCTATCTTAGCGTATGTTAATTCAGCACTGGTGTAAGTTCAGTTCTCTTTTTATCAGCCTTGCTCCTCTCACAGTGGTTCATTGGCCTCATTCCAGGTTCCATGCCAACCAACTATGAGCTCTACTATGGCTTCACACGGTTTGCTATTGAGCTCAATGAGTTAGATCCTGTACTAAAAGATCTCCTTCCACCGACAGACGCCCGGTTTCGGCCAGATCAAAGGTAGGGATAGTAGAGGCATTTGAGATGCAGCCTAGGTCATGGAGTGGGCTTCAACCATCTTTGAGACTCTCTTTACCACCATTGTTGGCTACTCATTCAGTCATTCCTTTGTTCCCTGTTCACTCAGCAGTATTGGAGTTTTCGACCTTAGGTAAAGTAGTATTTGCAGTAGGATCATAACAGATGCTTATCTCAACACAAAGTTCCCATGGATGATGACACAGTTGTGTTTTAATAAAAAGTTTCAAATCCCCCCGCCAAACTGACTACAGATCTGCTATGTACCGAATTACTCCTAACCCAGTGTTTCATGTGTGTGTTTGTGTGTGTGTGTGTGTGTGTGTGTGTGTGCGTTTTAACCTCCTTGTGTCTATTACCCTGTAATATGGAGTATCTTTTAAACTTAAGAATAAGAGGATAAGTTATAGGGATACCCAGAAATGCTTTGAGTGAAAATCTAGAGTTTTCCTAGCATGCTTTGGGTCCCACAGTGAGAGATATACTGGAAATACAGTATCTCCAAAGCCTTAGAATTCTCATTTTTTTTTTATTTTATAATACTCATGATGTTTACTCCTACAGAATTCATTTTACTTTTCCCAAAAATTCTATATGTCATACGAATTCCATCCAAGAGCAGTTTTCTATTTCCCATACTTTTGTGGTTTTACCTGTTTTCTGCCAAAAAGTTCTCAGTATTGAATATTCTCCTATTTAATTCTCTTAATTATGCTCCTTCCAGAACACGTGGTCTTGCCGTTTGACATTTAGATTTTATCAATTAACTCTGTACAGTGTATACCATGGTATATCCCTGTTCTTTGCTCTGGTTTTGAAATATAAACATTTGCAAATCACCCTGGGTCTTCTTTTTCCTTCTTGATTCTATTTCGGTATTCCCTTTCTGAATTTCATTTCCTATTCTGTGGCCTTTGGTAATTTTCCCCAGCTGTTACCTTCTGTTTTCACCAGTCTTACTCTCTCCAATAAAACAGGAAAGCTCCTTGCCTCTCAGTCTGTTCTCGAAATAGATGGAGGGCTTCCAGTTGCCATGCTCCATCCTATCACCTTTAACAAGTGCTCTTGTTACTATGGAAAAGGAGCACAACTTGCAACTGCCTGATGTTCTCATCCTGAACTCTGCAGTTGTCCTGAAAATCTCAGAGACCTGCAGAACCCCAGACAGCACAGAGAAGTCTGCAAGGCCAAACCTCTCCTCTCTCCCTCCTACCCTCATTTTGTTAGATTTCATAATTCAGTCCATGTCTACAGAAAGTTTATTAATTGATGGGCAGAAAGAGGTAATGTGTCCTGAGACAGAGGTGAAGGGGCATTATCAGAGTGTCACTGTGCCTTATGTTATGTTCATAGCAACCAGAGTGTAATTTTATGCAAGTAATATTTTTTTCTAAAAAGAGGATAGCATAATGAAATATCAATTACTTCATGCTTAGATTTTTGGAAGAAGGGAATTTAGAAGCTGCAGCGGCAGAGAAGCAAAGAGTAGAGGAACTCCAGAGATCTCGAAGACGATATATGGAAGAAAACAACCTTGAACATATACCAAAATTTTTTAAGTAAGTCAGTTCATTCCCTTAACAAATTCATGTGTTTCAGATGGTTGCCATAGGCCATAAGAAACTGCAGGTATAAAAAAAAAAATTGGGGATAGTATAGTATCCAGGGAACTGAAAGGTAGAAAACTAATTTTGTTTACTTTCCTTTTAAGCAGTGAAAATAATTGAGTCAGATTTTGCACATGTAAAAAGGTAGTAACCATAAAAAGAAATTCTTCTCTACAGGTCTCTTCTTTTTGTGGACAGCAAAAGAGTGAGGGTATTACCCAGAGAGCTTTTTCCTTCAGCTGTACCCTTTAGAATGATGGAAACCTGTTCCCACTTCCTCATCCAGGGACTGGATGGGCCCCTACACCCACAAGGTCACCCTCACTTCATTAGGTTTTAATCTTATTTGTGTCACACAGAGCTTGTATCTGTTCAGATTTAGTGCCTCTGGGGCGTGATAGTCAGTGATTATTTGCAGGATTATATATACATCACACGGATTAGTCTGTAGTTTCCAAATTCATCTGTTGCCCTCCAAAGCTCAACTTATCCTTTAAAGTTGTCATTTCATTACCCCCCTATCCCTCTGGGAAGAAATGCAGCCTTGCCCTTGAAATATCAGAAGTGGGCTCATTATACATGGGCTACAGAGGCTCTCGGAACTACCAATATTGAGTACTTGCCCCTGAAAGTAAAGCAGAAACTATTCTTGCCAATCTGGAACCAGAAGTTCTGGATTATAATATTTGTATGCACTTTGGGGCTCTTCGCTTTCTGTCCCTGCCTGAAGATGATCTGTCCCTCCCTTCAGTTCCTCTTCTACCTGCTTTCTCGTAAAACATTTTACAACAAAAATGAGTTCATTCCTATTCAAAAATAGTCAAATCCCCAATTGTGAGCAGATGGGACACTCTCTGGCTTACAAAGTACTTCTATGTATACATGTCTAATCCATAGGAGAGGGTCCAATTATCAGGTCACTTTGGTGCAATCTATGGCTAACCTTCATTTTTATATTTTCACAGAAAAGTTATTGATGCAAATCAAAGAGAAGCCTGGGTTTCCAACGACACCTACTGGGAGCTTCGAAAGGACCCTGGGTTTAGCAAAGTAGACAGCCCTGTTCTCTGGTAAACTGGGAACATAGAGCTAGCCCACATATCACACTCTGAATGAATAAATAACTATGCACAATTATGTTTCTTATAGCTACGCGTGGTTTCTGGGTCGACTGAAAACCTACCATTTGCTTTTCTATTCATCTTTATAATGGACTTTCAAAAGTGCATTAGACAAGGCCCCTAACCACTTTTGGATCCTTTCTGTTTTGCTGCAACCATATTCCTTAAAACAAAACAAAACAAGTCTACACCCGTCTCAGAAAGCAGAATAAAAAGGAGCAGAGTACAAAATCCAAAGTCTGAAGAATTTGTAAAGAAAAAAAAAACAAACTGTAACCGGTGCTTAAAGCTGATCAAGAAAGTAAAAACAACACACAAACCACATGTTTGGTCTATTGTCCGGAAGCACCATCCCCTTGTCACAGGAGCTCCTGGGCCCCAGCAGTTGGTTGGTTCAGACTTCAAGTAATTTTTGATGTGGTGTGCTTGTGGCTGGCCTCCTTATAAAAGACATGATGCTTCCCAGAACCTGTTCCATCTGTATGCCATTGTTCATGCCTTAAAAAATGCAAAGATGTACAATAAACCATTTTTTAAATGTGTACTCATAGGTTTATGTGAAGGACAGATCTTTTGAATCATGGCATGATTCACTTTCTCAATCAGAACAATGATTTGACTGACACGTGGACTGAAAATTGTTACATTGACACGTCAGTTACCATCTGGTGTATCTGAAGGTCAAGAAGGAAAAGGTGCGCTAAGTAGATCTCTGTATTCACGTTGCTCGTTAAGTTCCTGTCCTGCGTTCAGATAATAAACCATCCCTCTTCCACCTAACCTCACAGTGTGCCCTGTTATTTGGCAGAATTTGTGTTTGATTTGGACATTTGTCATCAGTGTTAAAACTTTGGAAAGAATGACAAAAAAAAAAAGACATACACATGGAATTTCTTTGTGGGCTTAGTAGTACTATAAACAGCCAAAGTGTTTGAACAAAGCACAATGGGACACACATCCCTAACCCACCCACAGCTCATTGACACTATTCAAGTTCCAATGAGAACAGAAGTAAGGATGCCAGTAGCTTATTTGCATTGTTTAAATGAGTCCTATGCAAAATCATATTTCTTATTTTTATCAAGTGATTCCAGAATGATACACAGCTACAAGTTAAGCATTTACCTCGCCAGAGATAGAGATAAAAACCTAAAGCTAAAGAATTTATCCATCCCAAAAATGGGGGGCAGGGAGAAGTATGTTTTGCATACTTTGGAATTTGATTTTCCTCCACTAATATACGGAAGTTTTTATAGGAAACTTGCATCAGTATTCCTTAGTTTCTTCACATAGATGTCTATATTAATGCCTGTATTTTTTTTAATATTTTAGTTGGACACTATATCTTTATTTATTTATTTTTATCTGGTACTGAGGATGGAACCAAGCACCTTGCACATGCTAGGCAAGCGCTCTACTACTGAGCTGCAGCCTCAGCCCCTGCCTGTATGTTTTTAAAAAGTCTCCTTAGAGAGTTTTCTAGAGAATTATAAAATTACATATATTGTTAGATTTTTATTCTTAGATTCTTCCCCTCAAAATTTAAGTGTTATTTTCAACTCTGATAACAAGGTATGACATTTTATATTTTGTTGTGAGGTATTGATTTTAACTATTTCTTCTTAGCAAAGCATTGCTAATAATGGCTAATATACCATCAAACAAAAAAACTTAAGGGAGAACTCTAAAACTTCCACTAGATGGAGCAGTGTTTTGATTACCCTAAAATTTCATTTCTCCCTTCCTCTAAGTCCATGCACTTGTTTAGAATGGAATTTCACTCTCCACTAAATTTCTCAATCCAGCTCCAGGTGTAACATGGACAACACCCTCTATGAGCTTCTCAATTCCTTCATCTCCCACTTTAAATCCATAGGTGGTTGTAACTCTTCCCCTTGTCATTGACTGTCTTTCTGTTCATTTATCTTGATGTCCTTTTATCTGCATCCTCAGAAGATATGTCTTTAATTTTAATTAGAATTTAGTTAGCTTCCTATTGACTCCCTCATAGAGAAGTCTCTTTTCCTTTCATTGGCAAAGCTTAAAATACTAAAATAATTCTGGCCTGAATTTGCTAGCATTTCCTTGAACAGTTTCAAAATAGACTAAATACAGGAATTCTACAAACTAAAGATATCATAATAGAGAAATGGGAAGGTTGAAGAGGACCTAGGATCCAGCAGGCATGCAACCACCATACCTAGCATTTGGGTTATAGTTAAGAAAAAACTAGTGGATAGAACCTTGACTCGAAGATGAGTCCACTATAAGTCAAGTGGTTGAATGTTGGTCAGATGAGACTGAGAAAAAATTATCAAACTAAAAATCAACACATAATATACCAGATTTAGATTTTTTTTGGGGGGGGGGGGAATTCAGATACCCTGATTATTTTCACTGAAGTGATGGATTAAGTTTGGGGTGGTGCTCCCCTAACACCTGGTTCTCCAGTCTCCCATGTCAAATACTCATCTTGGTGCAATGCCCCATCCCCCTTTTCTTTTTCACTGTTTATTGACATGATAGTTACAGAATTATGAGGTTTATCCTGTTGGCATTTTCATTTACATAATATTTAGACTTTTGAGATTGAACAGGAAAAGGATAGACTATTAGCTCATTCTCTGGATAAAAGCTATAATGTCCTTAGAATTTTTTGTAAGCTTTTTTATTTCAGGGCACAATTTTATTTGTTTCCTAGAACAGTCTAGGATAGAGGAGGACTTGATGTGTCTGGACCCATTCCCATGGTTTACTTACAAACTTTTTCCTCTCGCTTGAGATGGTCACTAGGAAAGCAGTAATAAGTGAAAGTGGCCCCATGGACTTGGCCAGAATGAACAGATGGATGTCACACACCAATACTCTGAGAGGTCCGCCAGAAACTATTTTGATTCTGAATGCTGCTGCTACCCAAGATGCAAATTTACTCTCCAATTTTGCTGTTATGTTGTTTATTAAATTATTATTTTCCACAGATTACTTTAAAATAACCTTCCCTATAACCCAGCAATTTTAAAATTAAACCTCATTTCAGATACCTTTTAAGATACAGATGAATTGATGTGGGGGTAGGGGTCCCAAATGTAATTTTCCGAGTAAGAGAAACTAAGGGATTTTTTAATACAAAAGATGCCTAGTTGTCAATTTTCCAATCTTTTGCTCCTCTTGATTATTCTGGCCCAATTTCTTTCAGCAGCTCCGATAATCAGTCATCAGATCCTGTTCCAGGAGCAGTGAGAGGCGGGATGAGGGAGGAAAACCTGATTAAACTGTTTTGCTTAATAGTGCTTACAGCTGTGGCTGGAGAAGGGTTTCTAATCATAATATAAAGTAAATTTTTGTTATTACCTAGTGGGTTTTAATTTTCCATCTTGTCTAATCTTGTTCTCTGTCATCCTTGATAATGAAGTGTTTGTGGGAGCAGAGCTCCGTACACACCAGGGGGGGTGTAATAAATGTTTGCTCTTGGCTCAGTATATTATGAATGTGGCACAGTAAATAAAGTTTGTGTACAAAATATTAGTTTATTTCTAAGGGAGCCATTATGTTCAGGATATATAAAATGTATCTAATTAAACCATTACGAATCTATTTTGTGCTTAGAAATGTTCTTTGGGGGAAAACATGGAAAAAAAATGTGTCAGTGGAGCTAAAATTAAAGTGTTGGTTTGTTTGTTTTCCAAAAAGCTTTCCAGTTATTGAGAAATACTGCATATCAAACCAAGATTAGATTCTCTGTCTTAAATGAATTTATTTTGTAAAATTTATACTTTTAAACTGTACATTGCATGTATCTTTCTCTTAAATGGAACCTGATTTAAATACATATTTTTAAGAGCCTACATTTGTTACAGAATTGTAAGACCTTTTTGTTGCAGCCTCTGCTTTTAAAGAAAATGGCAAATTGTATAAGAAAATTTCAGTTTTAATTCTTCCAAACTGAGACCTAAAGAATGAATTATTTCAAAATTGCTGTGATGAACCACCATTCCCACCATCTTAAGCAAATAAGAATTCATTGTTGGGGGAGGCTACAGGTGACTCAAGTGGAAAAGCACTGGTCTGTCTTATACATCCTTTTGTTCTCTAAAATAGTACCTGACTCAATTCATTTTTGTCTAACCTTCTGGCCCTAAAATAGAGAAGGGTACAGATGTATATGTCTGCACTTTTGTACTGTGAAACATGTTTATGCATGATTCCAGAGTCATTCAATATCAGAAGCTACTTCATTTAGTCCTACTTCATTTTAAGTCCTGTTCAGCACTTAAAAATTTTCCATAAATACCTGCACGTTAGTTACTTTGGTGTCTACAGATTGGCAAGAAAAAAACATAACAAAAATATTCTTGTTTTCTGAAAAATTTGTTTCTAGCCATGCCTTCCTTCTAAATATAAGTTAGATGTAGCAGGAACAATATTAAGTTTTCATGAAACCAGATGTAATCCTATTTGGGTTCCACCCATTTCTTTCAACACTTTTAGTTAATAGGATAAGCAATTGAACTTAAAACTGTTAAGAAACCAATAATGCTAAAACTACTATTTCTTTTATCTTAGGTAACCCCCCCCCTAATTATTCTCATCCAGTTTGTTCCAAAGTGGTTGCTAAGTTGTTTTGTTTTTTTAGGGTTCAGATGTACATGACATATAATCAACTTCTCATATATGAATTACACAACTTACTCCATTTTGACACTGTCACAACCACAATAATGAATATATCCATCACTCCCAAAAGTTTCCCCTACCCCTATGTAATCTTTCCCCATCCTCCTTGGCAATCACTGATCTGATTATTTTACTTTTAAAAGTCTGCATAATTTTCTAATATTTATTGCACACAAGATTTTCTTCAAAGGCTGTGTACATATGGATAGACGAATGCCTGCCATCTCCTCCCATGTCATTATCCCATCTACATCGACCATCAGGCAGTAACCAGTAATACGTTGCAAGAGAAAGAGGATCCCACTAAGCTCTGGTCCTGAGAGCCCAGTAAAAAGTTTAATTTGCTTAGAAAACTAGACTACTTTTCATCTTGAAATGGCCATGTAAATGCATAGATTAATTGTCGTGCTTTGGGAGTCTAAAATAATTCTAACACAACTGGCTAGGGGTGCTAAGGAAGCCCTGGGAAGTGTTTTTCTCTGGTGTTTAGTGAAATAGTCAACAGGCTGTGGCAATCCTATATGACACTAGAGATGATGTTTTGATGATGGTGATCAGAGAAGCAGCCTATGTTGAGTTACTTGTTCCCCTAGCCCTACTTTTACATCATACTTTTAAATTTATTTTTAACTGATACACAAAAATTATATAAATATGTTGCCATGGTGATGTTTGGATACATGTATACATTTCTTTATAATGGAAACTTCCAATCCTTTCTCGTAGCTTTTTGAAATGAATAATACATTATTATCTGTAATAATCCTATTGTAGTCACAAACATTTGAAACTTCCAGTGCTCAGGAAGTCTGCTTTTCTGTGGGGTCAAATGCCCCCACTCACCTGAAAACAAAGTTGCTAAACCTAATTTTGAAAACAAACTGGAAAGAAAGTGAACTTGAGGCTATGCAAGTTGAAAGCGTGTATTCCTCATATCCTGATCCCCAAACTCTCTTATTTGAAAGTGAAAAAAAAGCATTCCAGAGGTGAGCCAATGCAACATGATTAACATTAGATGCTAATAAAGAGAAAAGGCAAGAAAGAGAAAGGAAATCTGGGAAAGAAAAGATTCTTTAAGTGGAGCAGGGATCATGGTCCATG